AGACGCAAAGATTGCCTAAGGAGATGGATAAAGGATTGGTGTTCTTGAGTAATTGTAGGGCAGCAGAGGGTTTTTTTTTTTTTTTTAACTTTTATTTTAGGTTCAGGGGTACATGTGCAGGTTTGTTATATAGGTAAACTTGTGTCACAGGGGTTCGTTGTACAGATTATTTTGTCACCCAGATACAAAGCCTAGCACTCATTGATTTTTCTGCTCCTCTTCCTTCTCCCACCCTCCAGTGGGCCCCAGTGTCTGCTGTTCCCCTCTTTATGTCCATGTGTTCTCATCATTTGGCTCCCACTTATAAGAGAACATACAGTACTTGGTTTTCTGTTAGAAGAGGACTTCTAGGTTAGAAATAAATGGAAAGTAAGTACTGGGGAGGGTAGATGAGTACTGATTCAGCTGGATAGCAATATCTACATTTTATTTTAGGAGTAAGGGGTAAGAGAAGGATCCCCTAAAGAGATGAAATTTGCCTGCATTAACAGAACTCTTTTGCATCATTTGACTAAAACAATGACATCTCCCCACAAATGACACCCCCTTCCCTGTGCACATATGCAACCACAGTGCACTGCAGCTGGTAGCCAGGCTGGGGAAGCCCCCTGTGCCACCTTTGGAGCTGCACCTAGCACCCTAGAACAGCCATGTGGCTCTCTATTGACAAGAACATCTAATGCCAGGTGTGGAGCTGAACTCTACCATTAGCAAAACAGCTGCTGGATGGTCCTTTGGACAATTTTTTGAGCTTCTGCAGGCTAGATAAAAACCTGCTTATGTCATAAAAACAGGCAGGAGAAGGTTGGTATACACTGCGAAAGGAAAGGTAGGGGAATACTCCACTGTCACTCTGTTTCAGGATTAGGGTGTGATCATTCAGAATTTGTAACAAAAGCACTCTATAGATCTCTAATCCCTGCCTTGTTTCTCCTGGATTAAGTGTTGTAACATGAAGCTCTACTCCACCCATGTCTGTGTGTAAAGTTTAGCCAGTAATTATCACCTGAATTCAGATCTCATGGTTTTTAGTCAGAACAAGTGATGGAAAATGCTACTAAAATAAATGATTTACCTGCATCTCCTAGTGTTGGAACACAGCTGTAATAATTCTTTCAGAAGCTTTGATCCATCTTACAATTATTCAAATAGGGAATTCCAGAACCTCATGAGGGTATTTTAACAGCTAAAATTCAAAGTTTATCTATTTCAAAAATTCAATTTTACCACACACTTTGATTCAAAATTTCCCCCAAGCATTGAAATATGATCAGAGTTGTGTTTTTGTTTGTTTTTTTACAGCTAACAAAAGCCACCTGGTGGCCGCATCCTGTACATACTTCCTCTTTATTTTACGGTGTCTTTTATTAGTATTAATCTTGGATCATGGTTGGGTAGAAGAAACACAATGGAAAGAAACCTTGCCTTAACCACTTAAGGTAGTATGAAAAAACCTTTTCATGCTATTTGGACACTAGTGATTTTATCATTCTGGCTGTAGCCTTGCTATCAATAGTAAGTTTGAGAACTACTTGTATGTCACCTAAATAATGTGTATGGATTTGATTAGAAAGAAAAATACTGTTGTTTTTCCTTTCCTTGTTGGCTTACCCATTCCATCCTATTCTTTATCACATTCTAGTCTCAAGTATTCTATGAAGCCTTCTCTCCTAAATCACAGAACTTCGGTATCAATCCTACACCTACTTTGTATGCTTTTTTAATGCTCTCCAATTGTTTAACGGGTGTTACTTTTGTTTCTCCAGATACTTTTAGGCTTCAGAAATCTCAAATTAATTGAAATAATTTACCTCATTTTATTTTTCCATAATTCATTATTTTTTCTAATGGAGATTTCAGTATGTTTTAATATTTCAGCCCAAACATTTTTGCTCATTGAATAGACAAATGAATCTCTGACATACCTGGTAAGAGAGATGTGAAATTCATTCACAGGCTCATCAGGGGGCTAGGATCTACTGAACTCCTTGACCACCATAAAGTTTCACATACTGAGGACTAAACAGTGTTCATGAAAGCATCTTTACATCCATATGTATTATATTTTTCCCAAAATGGAAAAATGTTCTTTACTTCAGACTACTGATTTACAACTCCTAAGTCATGATCCATTAGAGACTACCAATATATAATCCTGGCCAAATCATTTATATGAAAATTAATGATTTTGATATCCTGATGGATTTCATTGAACCATACCAAATTCTTAAAGTAATATTAAGTAAGCCACATATAATAGACACACTGAATGGCCTCAGATTAGTGCCAGTAGTAAAATTCGGCATGGGATCCTGATTTAGGAGGCCCTAAATTTGATTTAACATTGCTTTTTCCCAAAGCTAAATCTAGACAGGGGCCGGGCATGGTGGCTTACCCCTGTAATCCCAGCACTTTGGGAGGCTGAAGCAGGTTAGTCACCTGAGGTCAGGAGTTCGAGACCTGCCTGGCCAACAGGGTAAAACCCCATCTCTACTAAAAATACAAACAAATTAGCCGGGTGTGGTGGTGGGTGCCTGTAGTCCCAGCTACTTGGGAGGCTCAGGCAGGAGAATCGCTTGACCCTGGGAGGCAGAGGTTGCAGTGAGCTGAGATTGCGCCATTGCACTCCAGCCTGGGCAACAAGAGCAAGACTTTGTCTCAAAAAAAAAAAAAAAAAAAGTCTAGACAGGCACTCCTCTGGGTTTTGCTAGTCTTGAGGTAAGGATAGTTTTAGGGGTCCTCCTCAGAAGGCCCACTGACAAAAGACAGGAGTAATAAACAGGATATATGATGAGGGTAGGCTAAAGAGAGCCATGCTCTCTTTCAGTGTGAAGCAATTTCCAGAAACAGCTAGAATGAGTTCTAAAACAATTACAACCAGAAGCTACATGTGAACCCCATGACCTGTGATTACAGAATAAAATGCATCTTAGCCCTGGGGCACTTTTCTCTACCTACCTCACCAGGCAGGTCAGATGCCCAAATGGCACTCTTGCCAAGACATTACAAAAAGTTATTTTTTGTTAGATTTATTCCAGCAATTGTTACTCAATATAAACAGGCTCAAATATTAAAAGTGATTATTCCAACTAAAAGCCAGAATGAAAACACAAATGAAAAGTGACAGCAAGTCATCCTCCCAATTACCACCTCTCAGGGTCTCCCCATCTCCTGATCTGGCTTATAAGATCCTCTCCCACCCTGGCTTCCCATTCTGTTTCCTCTGCCTCCATCCACATATCACTACTCATGTGGACGGAGGTAAAAATAGCCTATTTTTCACTGCACACAACCGGGCCATTTTGGCCTTCCGTGTACTGACATATACTATTCGAATACTCTCTTTCCCTATAATCACCTGGCTAGCTCCTTCCCACTCATCCTTCAAGCCTCAGACCAGGTGTCACCTTCTTCAGGAAGATTTTCCTAATTTCTGCCACGTTGTGTAGCACCTCCCACCCTGGGATCCCCTAGCACCTTGGGCATGCTCCATTCAGAGTTCTCGCTACTTTGTATAGAATACTTGGTCATTAACTGCCGCCCCTCTAGCCTTGAGTTCAAGGGCAGCCACCATGTTTATTCGTGTGTGTAGCCATACTTAAGAAATGTTTGCTGAATGGAAATGCAAATGCAAACCTTTTACGAACAAATTGGGTTTAAAATGATACTGGAATAACTGTATTCAACATTCAGGTCATGAGCTAATAGGTGCACTGAGAGAAGATCTGAGGACAGTCCAATTCAGAAATAAACTGCAATGAACATTGAGAAACTGGATGCCTTTCAATGACTGTACTGTACAAGTCACTTTTTATTATGGGGAATAAAGAGCAGAAAACGGAGAAGCCAAGTTTCATAAGCACAAATTCACCTATTAAAAAGTTCAAATTAAGTGACCTTTTCTTTCACTCATTTCTTCAAATATATTAAGCCTGTAAAAACAGGCTTCCTCCTCCTCTCAATCTAAGGAAATGCTAAGGAAACAGAACCAAGATCAAATGGGCTTTTACTGACATATGCTTATTTTAGCTAAAAATCTTTTAAGAAAATCGGCAGTTGTAAAATATATCTTAAAATAGAGAACTTTAAAGAAAAACCCCATGCTTGTGAAAGAAGTATCCCTTTTGCAGTATCGGACTAGTTTATACACAGTGAACTGCCTGTAGTGAATTAGATGGTGCTTCCTTTTCTACAGAAAGATTACAAGAGTCTCCCCATGGTCAGAGCCAAAATAGGCTCTTTTGAGTGTCACTATCAATAACCAATTCAATTCAATCGATTGATGACAATGTGAACATTATGAAAAAAGGAAAACTTGGAACTTCCTTCCTACATTTCTAGAAATGTCTAAGACCCTTATTTTTCTTTCAATAATAAAATGCACTAATAAAATGTTGGATATTTTAGATTGAAAAAAGAATCACAAAACTGTACAGCAATACGAACAACCTGGCATCAATGTGTAATAAACAGGGATACTTAGAAAAGTTATCAGATAACACTGTTAAAGATATGTAACTCTTGTAAAACTCGATTTCAAAGAATTGCTGTGCCTGAGACTAGTCTGTAGTTATTTTAAGTATTAACTCTTAAAAACTTTCACCTACATTGTGTCACCAGACTTTCCTTTCATTGCCCTCTCCTTTCCAGCATTTTCATTTTTTGGTGCTTCCAATCTAGTTTACATCATGCACAGTCCAGTTATTACTGATCCACAGACTTAGTATTTAATATCAACATTTGGTATCGAATTTTTTTTTTTAAAGATGTCATACTATTATTAACAAAACCATCTTGCCAGCAATTTTAAACCCACCAGTAATTCAAATATTTGCAAAACATGACTTTAGAGGTATCTAGTGCTATATATAGAAAACCCAAGAGTGAAATGGAAGCTGGAGCCACCCTCAAGACAGAGAAGATGATGTAATTTCTTTCCTTTGTCGTGGTTATAACTTTTGCACTCTCAGAATTTACCTGGAATAGCACTGGTGGCTTACCTTGTGTTTGGTTTCAGATTTTCTACTGTGGAAAAGGTCTGATTTGTAATTTGAATGGACTTGTTCTTCCCACTGAATGACCCATTTTCTCTGGATATAACTTCATATTCTGTAAAGCAAAAAAAGCCAACAGATACTTGTCTTTATTTCTTGGTTGATTTAATTGCTCCTGAAGCTAAAAGCATAAAAAAGCCACTCACATAAAGTGAGCAATTGAGATTGAAGTTCTAGAGACATATTGATCTTACACATTGGCAATTTTCATATGGGGATGGTCAGCAGATGAAGGTTCCAGAAGCATTTTAGGATTTGCTCATTGACCATTTCTGCATTTCCTTTACCAGAGGCAAAGGAAGGGCCTAGTAACTGGTGAAGACCCATGCCATGCCTGTGGTTGCTTTGGAGACATAGCCTTTGGTTTTGTTAGGTGAGTCAGATAGTCTGCCGCTGCTGCAAAGCCCCATTTGGGGAAAGCACTGTATGAAGAGTGGTGCCTGAGTAGACATGTTCTCTGCTCTACAGGCTTTAGAATATAGTTGGGGGAAAGGCTACTGGATACATGGTACTGCTGCAGAAAACTTCTTTGAGTTGAGCATCACAGCAGTAAATAGCAGCTAATCAAATAATAAACTCTACTTTTCATTATTTTGAACTATAGGAGTATTTTGAACTATAGTTCATTATTTTGAACTATAGTTCATTATTTTGAACTATAGGAGTAGTGGGGTTTTGTACCCACTGCCTACATAAGTTATGCTTCCTTGATTATTTTCCTTGCATTGAAAAACAAAATAATGTCCTTAAAGTCTGCATAGAGGTCTGCCTAAATTTCACTTAAAGGCACATTTCTATGAACTTGCAGGGCTCATCAAAAGGGAAAGAAATTTAGAATAAGAGAATGCCATTTACACATTTGTTCATTGGACTTCCCTGCTCTCATTTGGGACTTAGCTTAATGCATGTGATGAGATGAAACAGAGAACTAAAAAAAGATCCAAAAACCCAAACAATAAACCCCACTCAAAATCAGCTCCATTAATATGAAGAAATACACAAGTACCGGGCATCAGATAAGGTGAAAAGGCTGCCAAAGTCTGGCAAGTTATATTAGGGATTTCTGCTATTAGCACTGAGTCCAATGGTGTGAGATGAATATTGGAAATAAAATGAATAACTAGAATAATCCAGATAGACCCCAAATCACCAATTCATATTTGGGGAGGATTTCTTTTTTTTTCTTTTTTCTTTTGAGACAGGGTCTTTGCTCACTGCAACCTCCACCTCCTGGGGTCATGCTATCCTCCCACCTCAGCCTCCTGAGTAGCGCACCACCACACCCAGCTAATTTTTTGTAGAGACAGGATTTTGCCGTGTTGCCCAGGCTGGTCTTGAACTCCTGAGCTCAAGCGATCCACCCACCTCAGTTTCGCAAACTGTTGGGATTACAAGCGTGAGCCACTACGCCCAGCCTCAGGAATATTTTTAATCGCGTATTTAAAAAACCCCAAGAGGAGGAGGATTTTTTCTGAACAATTTTGTATGACCATTCTTCCGAAAATTAAAAATTAAACTGGAAGACAGTGGCCATGGATTCTGGATAGTATTGGTGCAGCTATTAAAGTACTGATGACTGTTATCTAGTACTGTCACTGAGACTTCTTTTTGATCCCAAACTCTCTCTCAGCTGGCTCTCCTAACAGACTGGAAAGGGAGAGGGGAAGGGAGAGAATTCTGAATTAAAATCTGTCCATTTTATATTTTTTCCTCAGCTGTGAAGGGATATTTGTTAGAAAAAGATGGAAGGACTTAAAATGCAAGTAAAATTGATTAAAAAAAAAAAAAAAAAAAAAAAGAAACCAAACAGCTTAATGGAAAGAGACAAATTAAGCCACTTGTCTTGAACTTGATCTCAGTCTTCCCATCCATACAATGTTAATATCTCTTCATAACACTGTTTGTGGAGATTAAATTAGGTACAGGTGGAAAGTGCCTGATAGTATTTTTCATGGATTTTGTTCAACAGGTGGTACCTACTATTATGCTGCTTTTATTATTATTTATCATCCTTGAGTTGTGGTTTGAAAATGACTAGAAAAGGGTTAAGATTCCAATAGGAAAGGTTCACGTGCTGCTAAATCACCAAAAGAACAATTTATATGACACTCCAGTTGCTTATGCACCAAAGCAACCACCTTCGAAAAGCATCTTTGGCTTGGGACATTCCTCATCACTGTATGACATTCTTCTTAACATTAACCTTGCCTTTTAGGAGTTGAAACATCTATTGCATGTCTTCTCTGATTTCCATTTGGCTCAAGTTTTAACAGCTGATTTAATTTTTTTTTTAATGGAAGATCAGAATTCTCAAAATGGATCTAGAAGCTTCCTTCCTAATTAAAAAGAAATTTAGAATTTCAGAATTCTAGCTTTTGAATATACATTTGTCTTGCGCTTTCTAAATATATATTTCCCATTTTTAATCCTTTCAAGTGCTAATACCTTTTCATAAATCCACCAACATTACAAACATCGCTCCTACCGATAAACATTAACAATTTCTAGTTTATGCTGCATATTCAAATATCTTATTTAATTTTCTCCTCAGGATAAATTGATAACAATGATGATGATTATTATTACACCTAAGGAAACTAAGGTTCGAACAGTCTAATTTTATACACAAGTTGCATATCTAAAAGAAAGCTGGTCTGGGATTTAAATCTATGTCAGCATGCTCTGGGACTATCAGATTATAAGGCTTATAACTAACAACTTAAAGTTGCCCGAGGATCCAGACTATGGCCAATTTTTTGGGCGTACCTTTTTCTACTTCGGTATAGAAGGGACATGTAGAAGCAACTGAACCTGGATGTCTTCACTGGAGGTGAATATGTGTCCCCATCAACTCAAAGAAAGAAGCCAACTCAGGCAGAAGAATATAGTTCACTCTATTATATCTCAGTACCTTTTTGTAAAGTCAGTTCAAGTGATATAATAATTAATTTCTATATTATCTGAGCTGCTGGTTTGTAAACAATCGCATTTGAAATCAAGTGGTATTTAAGGGAACACTAAAACCAAATGGAATGAAAAACCAACAGGATTTTAGGGCAAATGCTCTAATGTTTAAATATGGACTAGGTGAACTATGGTTAAATACGAACTTAATTCTATTTAGGAAATTCTGCAGCTAAAGAGATGTGGTCCTTGTCCACGAAAATTGTTATAAATCCTCTGTATCATGTGACAGATCTCAAGCAACTCATTAACATTTAGTAACAGCATTACAAAAGCAGTTTGGTTAGATGGATAAAGTATACTATATCCATGATTTTTGAGATTAAACATTTATACAATAAAAAAGGACAATTCTTCAGCTTTAAAAAGTTAAATTGTATATTATGAATATATCCAAGTTGATGTGTATTCGATAATTAAATGTATTAGATTAACCAGTTCTACCTCAATGTTCCGTATCTTTAAGGCAAATGAAATTTTATAGATCATTTAGTTTCATGAGAACTAAGCCTCAGATGATCACAGGAACTCCTTACTAGCACAGTATATGAAGAGTTTTAGACATTTTAATGGATGCAGATAATCAATACTGACAGATTAACTGATTTTTAGATATCGTAGTACCTATTAGCACAGTCCCAAGGAAAGAAGCAGGACTAGGCAAATCTCTAGGAACCATGGGTAGTAGTGGGTTCTTTCTCAAAACAAAGGGTAGCTTTGCATGAGAAAGGGAAACTCACAAAACATGGTAAAGAAGGCTAGTTAAGCAAAGATAAGCTGCTTACACTGGAAGTTGCCCAGATCCAATGGTTCTGTCTGAGGAGACATAGCTGCTGTTTTCCATGTACAGTAGGAAATGTTTTTGGCAGATCCTGTGTCCCTGCATACTCTACTTGGTCCTGTGCACTGCTCCTCTCTCTTCCTGATGGCTTCTTAGTTGACCCCCCTATTCCCTGCCTGCCTGCACCAGGTACATGGCAGGAACTTGGGTGGCAGGAATTCACTTACCATGCTATTTGCTATATCCTCTAGCTGATTTAGCTTGCTAGTCTTTTTTCCTCCTCCTCGTTTGACTATCCTCTTCGTTATGGAGAATCAAATTGTTGTATAACAAATTCAAAGAGTGTCTCAGGGTTTCTTAGTTTTCATAATCATTTTTAGAGGAATTGGTGGGTGGTAACAGTATCAAAATTTCTTAAGATGAGCAGAAAATTGATCAGGAATAGAGTTTTTGTTTTTATTTATGCTAAGACAGTTGAAGTAACCTTTAGTCTGCTAGAAAGTTCTAGGTCAATTAGAAATTGGGTTGGTGAAAGGAAAATCAGTTTTAATCAGCAATACAATTTTCTTGGTAATGAAAGACTGGCTTCTTCATCCTGGTGTAAAAAAGAGTTCTGAGAGGGGATGGAAAGAATGCGGCCTGAAGAGATCTAAATTAACAGGGAGCCCATAACAAGCACAAAGATGATCTTTTCTCATCCTATGACACTGCTGACAATAATGTGCCTTAAAGGCAGTAAAACTGCTAGCTTTGGCTCCTCCCCAGATACGCTTCACATGCCAACATTGACCCAGGGTACCCCACTCCCAGGGTATCTTATTACCAAAGCTTCCCACCATAACAGTCCTCATGCCATGATCTTACCAGTGACAGTGTCATTTAGTGGCTTTTCCCAGTCCAAGATGACAAATGAGGGGCACCCTTCCACGGTGACCACAGTGAGGTTGGTGGGTGGATTCTGTGGTGGGCTGGTGGCATTCCCCTCTGTGGCATCCTCTTTGGGGAACCGTTTGACGGAGTCAGTAATGGAGCAGGGACTGTCGTCAGGCTTTTGGAGGTATCGCACATGAGGACCTGTGAGAGAGAGGACCCTTGACATTTAACATTTTTGCAACTCGTGAAGAAGATGGAAGTGAGCTCATAAATACAATTTGAGGACATTTGGTCTCATATTATAAGCAGATGGTTGAAAGCCATGATGTGGATGGTTCAAACTAGGAAAATTCAAAATCTTGCCTCTGAGACACATGATATAGGGTGGTGTTGATCTACTTACTGAATAGGTTTAGCTTATGCTAATATCCAAAAGTAATTTGATCCCCTAAGCATAGTTTAGAGTTCATAATTTATGGGGCACTGGGTCTTACCTCAGTAGTGGGAAATAATTAGCTCCATACTAAACACAGTTCTGGTCCCACCCAATAAATTTTAAAAACCAGACTCAAAAGAATCAAGTAGCTTCAAGTATTTTACTGTATCCCAGAAAAAAACTCAAGAATATTCTAGGAATAATAAAAAAAATCCAGCACCTAACAGGTAAAATTCATAGGAAAATATTACCTATAATAAGGAGAGAAAAATCAATCAATTGAAACCAATGCAGATCTCACATAGATGTTAGAATAATCAGATAAGAATTATAGTTATTACTATAATCCACATGTTCAAAAAGTTAGTAAAGACATGTATGATATTAAAAAGGACCCAAATCAAATTTCTAGAGATGAAAGCTACAAGATAAAAGATGCATTGGATATAATTAATACCTATAAGATAATGAAGAATAAATGATTAGTGAATTCAAAGACATAGCAATAAAAATTATCCAAAAAGAGGGAGAGAAGATAAAAATTAAAAATAACGAACATCACTGAGCTGTGGGGACCATTTCTGGTGGTCTCATATACATGTAATTGGAGTAGTAAAGGTTAAGAAGTGGGTGGGCAGAAAAAAATATTTTAAGAAATAATGGTCCCAAATCTTCCAAATGTGATAAAACTTCTAAACCCATAGAGCCAAAAAGCTCAAAGATACCTAGGAACAACAAAAATGTAGAAAACTATATGCTGGTCATCATCAAGTTTCTCAAAACAAGTGATAAAGAGAAAATCCTTAAAGGAGGCAGACAAAAGATAAAAGAAGCTTGACAACAAAAAGAGTTCATACGGTATGTTTTCATTTACATAAAATTCATAAAGTACATACTATAGTATGGCAGGCCTGTTGTCACGTAGGCACTGGGGGGTTGAGTGGGAGAAAGAAGAGAAAGGGATTGCAAAGATACATGATGAAACTTTTGGATGTCATATATGTGTTATTATCTTGATTGTGATGACGGTCTCATGGGTATATGCATATGTTAAAATTCATCAAATGTTACATTTCAGAAAAAAATTATAAATGCAAATACTGGGCTCTATATCATATCTCTCCTACTGTGGTGGACTGTTGTTCAAAACTATTCTTTATGTCCATAGGAGAAGTATTCTTCCCCAATCCTTGATTTGAACTTGGCTGTGTGACATTTTTTGGCCAATGGATATTGGTAGATATGACACAAAAAGGAGCTTTAAATGTAGTTTTGCATTTGGACACTCCCCGTCTTGATTTTGCCTTGTTATGAAAGTGGCTTCCCCTGGGTCATTGTTGGTTGTTCATCCTGGGAATCAGAGTAAACACATGTGGGGTGAACCTGAGTCCAACCCACAAGAGGCCCAGTTGTACCTGCTGCTAGAAGCAGAATCACTAAGCTAAACACATCCTAGATCAGCTGACACTCAGCTGACTTGAAGACACATGAAAAATAAATCCTTATTATTATAGTAAGCTACTAAGCTTTGGGGTTTGTTACACAGCAATAACTGGCTGATACACCTACCAAAAATAGCCTTTTCAAATGTGAGATTCACAGCCAATCATACATACCTTTGAATCTTGGCTTCCCAAGAGGATCAGTTTCTCTTGTTGGGCTTGAGCTAAAGTCAGTTATATTTTCTGAGAATGGAAAATAATGAACAATTTTGGCAAAAGATAAAAAAGCTTCACAATATAATGAAAACGTAGATTAAAGATACTCAATATTTCTCCTTGTAAACTGCTTGCAATTTTGATTTTTTAAAATTACACATACTCATCTACAATATAAGGCCTTTAGTTGTGTCCTGCTGCAAGGTGTTCTATTGTGTGAGTAATGAATTACAAATTATAACCAAGTGGTTAACATGCACTAATAACTTAAGGTATGTGTAGTTAGTAATAATGTGATCTAGTGGTAGCATTAGGTAGTCTAGATCTTTTTATGAATCAAAGTTAGGCAGTTTCTTCTAGGTCTGCTAAGGGAAGGACAATACTCTATAAGGAAGTGTTGAAAATAACTATAATTTTAAAATTAAAAACAACCATATTAATAAAATGGAGTAAAATAGAAGACCTCAAACTGAGACTCCCCCATCCCCACCACCATTTAAAATCTTTTGCACCTCACAGCTAAGTATCCAGTGAGAACGGATTGTCATACGAACCCATTTCTTCTCCAGAGGCAGGAACTGTGGGTTGCTTTATATCTGTCGCTATTCTCTCCAAGGGAGTTCCAGTAGGTCTGAGTGTTGACCTCAGGGGTGGTATAGTTATTGGGCCTGATGAAATGATTCCTGTAATGTAGAGCCAAAGTAGTCAGGCTTTACGGGAACACTGCCAAGTTTCTATAAACATTTATTCAGTAAATGTTTTTAAGCACTTACTATGTGGCTTGGCACTATAGACCAGCCTTGGAGAGAAAACAAGACCTGATTCTTAGTGGAGATAGATGTGTGAGCCAAGTATATCAAAGCATAATTATAGACGTTATGAAAAAGTACTAGATAACATCACAGGGGGGTGCGTAAGAAGAGGGAGTGGTTATGTCTGTGAGGAAAGATGGAGGGTTGTCGGGTTGCATCGGGCAGAGAAATGCCTTCACAGAGGATGTGCCAATAGAGGAGAACTAATTAGTAGGTAGAGACAAGAGCTGTATTATAGAGAGATTATAACAAGAACCACATCAGGGAAGCATGCAATAGCCTGGTGTGTTTAACTTGAAGGGGTACAATAAGAGCTGCGAGTGGAGGGGCAAGGAAGGGCAGATCATGAAAGAAGTTGAATACCATGGATTTGGATGTTATTTTTAGGGACTGAGTCAGTTGTGTAGGCAAGAGAAAGGAAGGTGAACTACAGCAAAGGCAGTGGAACTGGATGGAAGGGGTGGACATGAGAGCTGTCAGAGAGACTCAGTGGCAGGCCTGGAAGATGGCTAGAGAAGAAGGAAAAAGATTCCTAGGGTTAATGTCCATGATTCTGGCCTGGTGGCCAGTGTAGTGCCACCCTGATTGCTATATTCAACAGTGACTCCTCCCCTCTTAAAACACTTATAAGTCCCTAAAACTGGATTCATCCCAAGGTCCAGGCAAGTCTGGGTGTTTAGAGTCAAAAGGAGACTAGATTGAATTTTACGTTCCACCTGGAAGAAGGAGTCACTGTTGGGCAATAGAGAGTCAAAGGATACAAGCCTGTCCCAAGGACTATGGCCTGGCATGGAATCAGGGCTGAGTAGTCAGATGGGCCTCTGGCCTGGCCTCCAGGGATGCATGTTCCTGACCCTAGTGGGTATGAGCCACAATAAGAGGTCAAGCAAAACCCAAGAGAAGTTGCACTGCAGTCCACAGGGCTTTTCAGAGTTGGCAGAGTCAACTGGAAATGCTGGCATAGCATAGCATTTTCATCCAGGTGAGGAGAGTGGGACTCAGAAGCCTGGGTAGATCTAGAGATTGAGGGCAAGTGGCACATGTCACATGGCAGCCCCAGACTGTGCTCACAGACACATGTGAGAGCCTCAGAGGACTCCAGGAAATGGGGCTGGAATTTAAGATACACTTTCTGTGATGCTAATCAGGCCACATCTATCCCAGTGCCCTCAATTATTGTTTGGCTCCTCAGTGCGGCCGTTTCCCTGGAGTTAGAGGTGAATGGCGGCGGGTGAGGGTGGAGAGCGGGGACTAGGGTTCATCTCAGAAGTGGAATGTGTTTACAGTTCTTCTTCAGGCTGGGCGGGCTGTACCAAAGCTACATTTACTGACAGGAGAGAACCAGGGTTTGTATGGCAGGTACCAAGGCCATCAAACTGCTCCTTAAGGCACACAGCCTCACAGCATTGTTCTGGAGGGGGCCCCCAAGTGGCACACTCAGGCCTCACCCTGTGGCTCATCCAGTCTGATCAGCAAGCCGCTGGAGCTCAAGTCACAGCTGCCCCAGGTTACAATAAATGGTGAAGCCCAGTCTCCTAGCAAGGCCATGCCACTGGGCCTTGACTCAGATAGGCACCAGAGGCATGGACGGGAGGCTGCTTCCTCCTTCAGCCGGGGGAAAATGACCTAGAGTTCACTGTGCGCATGGGACATCCTACAAGCTCCAACACAATAGCCTCCTTTCATCCCGTGAGAACAGTGACACTCACTCCCTTTCACAGCGATCCACATCAGTTCCATCTTTCACAGCTGTTTTAACACTTTTATCCCGATTCCACCTACAAAATATTTAGGAAGTAGTGTTCTGGAGAGAGGGAGGAAAGGTGGGGAACATGCTGCAATTTGCTGGCAGGTCCTAGGTGAAGAGCCCTGAGTATGAGGTAAAGCTTCCGTCTGAACTGGGTCAATTTTACTCACTCAATTTCATTCCTTTTTTCACTTCGTTATTACTTATCAAATATCCTCTATGTGCTAAGCATGGGATTTGGTTCTGGGAATTCAGAGAAAAAAAAAAAAAAAACAAGGACTTTGTCATCACAGAGCTCACAGTCTAGTAGGGGAAGAGAAGTATGCAAACAAACAGGTCTGAAACAATTTTCTGTTTGCTCTAACAGAGGTGTATGTCAAGGACAAGAACAGAGAAGCAGTGCCAAGACGACCTTGAGGAGTCAGGGAAGGTTTTTAAAGAAAAGGATGAAGTCTGAGTATCCCAAGCCTGGAAAGGATCATTCTGTAGGGAGGAGCAATGTGTGTGCCCAGGCATGGAAAGAGGTAGCTTGCCTCCAAAACATATTCCTGTCTTGTTGCACAGCCTAGGCCTTTCAGCCACCCTGCATATTTTAGTCCCAAATCTTCCCCTGAGCACCACAATACCAGGCCTGGCATGAAGGCTGTTGGATAGGAGAGCTTTCAGTGGGATATACAGGATTTTATTTCAGGAGACAGAATAAATCAATGACAAGTCATCACATCTATTGTTCCTGGGGCCTTGGCAATGTACAGCATCTTGTCCAAAATAATCCATTTGTTGAAGGGCCTGACTCAGCTTCAATCTAGGCTCCAAGCACTCAGACACCTAGGAAGCAAATTTGCCTATATGCAGAGGGATGGTTTCCTTCTTTCAGTCCAAGAGTCAGGTTATAAGTCCTGAAAGCCATCATTTACAGTGTCTAGTCTTCAGGGCCAACACAAACGTGTCACACACATCAATAGTGCGCCTGTTGCTAGCACACCAAGAAGAGTTTACGTTGGCTAGTAAAACCAAAATCATGGCGAGAGAAGGAAGTTACATGACTAACGTACCTGCACTTCCTGGCTTTCCAGTGACATTATTTGGTGGTAAAGGTTTTCTTCGTGGGGGTGTAGGTCTGGGTGGCAAGGGTGGGCGGCGAGTCCCTGGGATTGTGGATAAGAGATTGTATTTTAGATAAAGTCATTATAAAGATTCACTATCGAAAAAAACACAGGGTTTTTAAAAATAAAAAATAATGTTGGATGACAGAGAATAGATGCTACAGAAAAGTGCACACAAATAATATATTCTGATATTCCTATAAATTAATGTTGGTAATGTACCCAGGGACAACAAAGCACTTTAGTATATAGAAAACACGTCTTCGTTATAGACGAATATACAGTCGAGCCCTTCATATCTGTGGGTTCCCCATCAGTTAATTCAAACAACTGTGGATGGAAAACTTTTTTAAAAACCACAATAAAAATAACAATACAACAACAGCAAAACACAAAATACAATATAACAACTATTTATATTGCATTAGGTATTATAGTAACCTCGGGATGATTTAAAGTATATGGGAAGATGTGCATGGGTTATATGCAAACACTATATCATTTTATACAAGGGATTCGAGCAGCCTCAGATTTTAGTATCTGAGGAAAATCCTGGGACCAATCCCCCATAGATACCAAGAGATGACTGTACATAGGTATACCTACTTTTGGAAAGGCTATATACATGTATAGAACTTAACATCTTTCATTTTCCATGTAGACTTAATAGGAGCACTCTGAACTTTATTATCCTCAGCTGCCTTTTATTTTGAGCCTACAATTTCTTATGCCATTTTAGTTTTAAATTGTGAAAGCATAGATTTTCTCCTTTTGTGGGTGTTTTACTCCATTCTCAGCTCTATTATGTAACTGTAATTAAAACCCTTTAGAAGTTCTCAAAGACTACGTTGAGGTAACCCTGACGGCTGGAACAAGTCTGTATCTGTGAGGAGCAGACCTACTGTGAACCGTTGTGGGAGTTGTGTACCACACAAAGACACTGGCCCAGGAGGTGTAAGTGGGGGACAAAGCTTAGCACCTGCTCTGTTCATCCACTCATGAGCTCTCGTGCAAGGCTGCCAGCCCAGAGGAAGGGCATTGCTTTTCTCATTGTCTGCCTAAAGGGTGGGGTACACAGGCACCTTTTCATAATTTGCAGAAAGATTGGCGAGGTCAAAGGTGCTTGGAGAAGTCCACTTTAACTTAACCACATTTTACGTCTTGTGCTACAGTTAAACAATTTATATCTTTTTTTGGGTATATATTGGTTTTAAAATCTCCAAGAAAAATTGTCAATCCAGGAAAATGCCTGGTATACTAGTAAGAGAAAGACTCTGTGTGTGTGTGTGAGTGTATGTGTGTGTGTGTTCAGGAGTATACTGGTGGTTGACGTTAATAAAAGTCCTTATTCAATCCAAAGGCATTCTGAGTCACCAGATTCATACTTTTGGCCTATTACATAGAGCATACTCTTAAATCAGGAGCATAAGTAATCTCAGGCAAAAAAATATTGTAAGAAATTACACAAGAACAAAACTTAAAGTCGATCAAAACTAGAAACCACAGTGATTCTGCAGCATGTGCCCATTATGGCCCCTCAGAACATTATAGAAAGTAATGATTAAGTTAGTATCACATTGGAAGTTCCTATTAATATTTAATTTGTGCATGGAGCACTTTTAATTCCTCCAAAGATAATATTCCAAATGTTTTCCTAGCAATACCCATGCACTGTATGCATGGTTCTGATATTTTGGGGGCTGCGTGGATGTTGCTGGTTTTGCCACAATAAATGATACTGCAGTTACCATCCAAGTTTCAGAGCTGAGCTGTCATAAAAGTCAGCATATCATTCCTTACCCGGCTTCTTAGTGGGGTGGGGAGAGTCCACTGATACATTTCTATCAGCACCTGATGGCTTGGGTGCTTGCTTGACTCCTATGAGCAGAGATAATGAAAGGGAATAAACATATATTTAAACAAAACATGTTCCATGGGAACTTTGTAGAGTTGTCAGTAACAACGTACATTCTTTGCAGAGTAGGCACATTGGTGTTTTTATGCCAAGATATTTTAACGGGCTTCTACTATCTGGCTATAGAAAAAAATAAAAACCCTACATTCACTAGTTGTGATGTTTTCTCTGTAGAATTAGCATTTCATGGTAAATTGCGGTTTTGTCCAAATCTTTCAAGAAACTCATCCTGCACTGCCTTACTGGGTCGTATTGCCTCACCAGGTGGGATTTCATTTATGGTAACTGGCCACCTTTTGCCAATATTCATCAGTACAGTTCGTAATTCAAAAAAATGTTTTTTCTTCCAATCCCTCTATGCCCATTAAAAAAACCCACACCTTAGAATTCCAGTGTGTTTGGGTTTATACTTAATAAATTGACTTTAAAATTATTCCTGGAGTGGCATTAGCTATAAGGCTATTGAGGCCACAAATGATGTTTTGGGATTTGTAAATTAGCCCTGGGCAGGCTTATAACTCTAAATTACTGTTTGAAAGAAACTGATTTGAAAATCACGTTGTGTGTTATTTTGTCTCCTAAGCCCCTCAATAATCTCGTGGTTATTACTAGCCATTTGTCTAAATACCCAGGCTTGGACTTTGGGTAGCAATTCCAAGGGGAACTAATTAGGTTTTTGTCATATTTTAAAAATTGTTCTTTTATATTATAAAATAATTTTCCTTGGTTTAGGTGACAGTATTCATTACAAAAGAATAGAAATAGACATTTTTAGAAGTTCAACAATAAAAATCACTTCAGAAATAATGACCTGTCCTAAAAAAGAATTCATACTACTTTGAGGACCTGACTGTAATTTACATATTAAAAAATAGGAATGAAATGTTTACATTAATATACTAGTTAGTACATTAACAATGACAGCAACCCTGTTTTGAGGGCTCACTGTGTTCCAGAAACTGTTTGGGGACATTATATACTCAATTCCATTTAATGTGTGGGCAGATATATTAAATATACAACAGAAGCTTTGCCTCCCTAAAATAAGATGACATTTTCACATTAATTTATGACATTCAGGGGATGAACCTAATATTGCAATCCCACATCCTCTGCTGCTTGAGTAAGAGATAAAATATATACAATCATGGAGAAATTACATACGGAATCATGAATTAAAGCTTATTTGTGGTTGGAAAAAAAATGTTTCTGGGGGCAATGACTTTTGTGACTAATCCCATAGGCAGGCCACAAGCAAATGGTTCATTAGCCTTCCTCCTGTGTCTCACTGTCAGGGGTAGTGGGGAAGGGAAATGGCTCATTTGAGTGGTTACTCTGTGAACAGCACAGGGAATTGAAGAATACCTGCATGTGGGTCACTGGGTAACTTGGCTTGCCAAGGTTTGATTTACCACGATTTCTCCAGGTAACAAAAAGTTTTATATACTCTAGAAGGCCAGTAGGCTGTTGTCTTGAGTAGACCCTTCTTTACAGCCCTTTTCCAAATCTTCCTGCCCTTGAAAACCAAAGTATTTTGATCCAATACTGTGCCAGTGCCTTACATATTCATGATTTGACTTATTCCTTACAACCCTGTGTGTGTGGAATACAATCTACGTCCCACAGATGAGAAAACCCAAGGCAAGGGGAGATGAAGCAATTTGCCCGAGGTCTCACAGCTAAGAAGCAGTGGGATTCAGGCCTACATATGCCAGGATCCAAAGTCTATCTCTTCAGCACTAAGAGGCAAAGCACAGAGTACTTACTGTCCTCTGATCATTTTCTCCCTGCTATTCATCACAGTAACTCTGAGTGAATATATTCCTAAAGCCCTCTACTCTGTCTCTTGGGTGACTTGAGCTGCCACCACTGTGTGAGGGCTAAATGGCCATAGCTGGCAAGCATGTGTTATCCAGTCATGCCACGGGTGTTTGGGACTCAGAAAATAGTCCAAGGCTGACAGTAGTCACTGACCAGGCATATCCAGATCCACCAAGTCACAGGGGCTGGTAGGTTAGAAATCTAGGAGCTCTAACTTAGAGCTAGGTTCCCACACGTGCTTGTAATTTCCTACCTCTAAGCTTTTGCACATGTTAGTTGCTCCATTTAAAATGCCCATTTTCATTCTTACCACTTTTAAGATTTTGCAGAGTTACATTATACATAAGACCAAAGATACACATTGCCTAGCCCTCTTTTTTTAATCCAGGGAGGAACTGGAAGAAACGAGCCATTTTCTATGTAGGTGGAGACAGAGGCATCATATTCTTATGATCCTTAGATACAGGTTCCCAAATCAAGTAGAGAATCAGCTGCAAAACCGGACTTTCTCCAGCCTTTAGAAGTGGATAGAAGCCAGTGGTACCTGAAAGCATTGGGAAGGGCCAGGCAAAAGGCAGCTGTGTGGCTCACTGGAAAGATCTGGGGACAAGAGACTGAGCTCTTGTTCTGGACTTGCTCTCTTGCACCTAGCTGCGGTTTAGGCATTTCACCCGGGCCAGAACCGGAGAGACTAGAGAACATCTCTTGCCCTGAGTCAGAGGACAGCAAATGAAAGGCCAAAGGTAGCAGAGAGGCAATGGGAAGAGAAAGGAGAAAATCAGTAAGAGATACTGAAGAGAACGAATTCTCAGGAATTGGCACCCAATCAGACAGTCTGGCCCAAGCTGTGACCTGACTTCTTTTTCCCTCAGGCAGGATTAACCAACACATCTTCTAAAGGGCAGAGTCAGCTCTGTAAGCACCAAGACTTGGGCCTCAGAATGAGCCCCCAACTGCCATATGGGAGTCCTCCAAAAATCTCTGGATTTACATAGTTCACCCCTCAGCAATTTATCGTCCAAAACGAAGTAACAAATTGGGTACTTTTAACCATGGTAACAAAAACTTTGCAAACAAACAAAGTAAACTGGAAATCAGTTCTTAAATGTACCAGTGACTTCATTCCCTGTGATCAAAAAGGGGTGATATTTATGGATGATTGGTTTCTGCACTCTTGTCCCAAATCTTAGCACCTGGCTAAAAAGCCAGCGGCAGGGAGCCAGCAGGCTGGAAGGTTCAGTTACAGCCCAGAAAAACACATTCCTCAGCCTGAGGGGACTGGATTCTCGTGCGGCACACTCATGTGGGGGCAGTAAATCGTGGTTCCCTCATTAGGGTGTAGAGAAAGGAGTCTAGGGTTCAGGTTTTTAACACTATCTGCCAAATCACATGTGCCAGGTGGTTTCAGAATTATGCTTTGCCTGGTATATGATGGGCTTTCAATAAATGTTGGCTGAATGAAAAAAATAGCTGCACAACTTCCCTCAGGGAGAAAGTCAGAGAGATTGTCTAGCACTGGGATTGGCAAACTTTTTCTGTGCTTGCTTTCATAGCACAATGGCAGAATTAAATATCTGTGAAAGAGACTGTTTTGCCCACAGAGTTGAAAACATTTATCCTTTACAGAAACAGTCTGCCAACCCCATGCTAGACAAGAAATATTTTCACCTTTATGGGCCATACTTTCTCTGTCACAACTATTCAACTCTGCCATCGTACTGTAGAAGTACCTTTGTACGCAACACACATTGTACACAGTACAATGTGAAAGCTAGATATGTTTCAATAAAACTTTATTTACAGAAACAGGCAGTGAGCCAGATTCAGCCTGTGGGGCTGTAGTTTGCACAATCCCTTGGCCTAGTGTGTGCATGGCTTGTTGCATCTCCGTAGGCAGGTCTCAAGGAGATTTTAATAGGTAGGACACATCGGCTAAGCTGAGACACGTCTCTGGAAATCATGGAAAAGCAGAATGCTAGAAAAATGACCCACTTTAGATCTCAACCTCTGGCAGGCTACTTTCTAACCTTGGGGTAGAGCAATATCTATCTACATATTCATGTATAAAATACATATACATCAGGTAAAATATAATTATGTTATGAAATAAGATACACTGGGCTCAAGATATTCCTAGGGCTTATGGAATCACGATTTTTATAGAGACCTCAACAGTCAAAGGTCTGTAGTCTTTAGGCCTCAGAATCTGTTTTTCTTTTTTTAAGCCTTCCAAGGGCACAATATTAGGTGGTCTAAAACCATAAATAACATATCCTACAGGAACTACAAATTAAAACCACATTGAGATACCACCTTACTCCTGCAAGAATGGCCACTATCAAAAGTCAAAAAACCATAGATGATGGTGTGGATGTGGGGAAAAGGACCACTTATACATCGCTGGTGGGAATGTAAATTAGCACAACCTCTGTGGAAAATAGTTTGGAGATTCCTTAAAGAACGAATAGTAGAACTATACCATTTGACCCAGCAATCCTACTACTGGGTATCTACTTAAAGGAAAATAAGTCATTATATGAAAAAGACACATGCACATGTATGTTTATTGCAGCACAATTCACAATTGCAAAGATACGGAACCAACTTAAGTGCCCATTGACTAATGAGTGGATAAAGAAAATGTTTGGTATATATACACCATGGAATACTACTCAGTGATAAAAAAGGAACATGACAATGTCTTTTGCAGCAATTTGGATGGATCTAGAGACCATTATTCTAAGTGAAGTAACTCAGGAGTGGAAAACCAAAAACCGGATGTTCTCACTTAAAAGTGGGAAGTAAGCTGTAAGTACACAAAGGCATACAGAGTGATATAATGAACGTTAGAGACTCAGAAGTGGGAGGGTGAGAGGAGGCTAGGGATAAAAATCTGCAATATATTAGGTACAGTGTACACTACTCAGGTGATGAGTGCACTAAAATCTTAAATTCACTGCTGTATAATTCATCCATGTATATCCATGTAACAACAAAACCCAAAAGCCATTGAAATAAATTTTTAAAAATAAAATTAAAGAGTATGTCCTATAGATCAAAAACACTTCCTTTATCAACTAATTTTTTTAAATGTGAAATATCTGAGTTGAAAACTTCAGTGAGAAAAACTATAGGAAAATGTATGTGAGATGGATAAGAAAGATAAACATTCTAAGATGTCAAAGTTGAACATGAAATCAGTTAACACAAAAATGATGCATTAAAAGAGTCAACAGAGGCTGAAAGTGTGGATGTGACAGTAGAATTGTGTCAGAGAAGAAAATAAACTTTTGCATACAGCTGCATTTCTATAAAGAAGTCTGATCAAAACTATGCAGAATCAAAGGAAGGTGGACTCAGGTAAGTCTATAACCTGGAGAGGAGGGATTTTTAAATACTTCTTCCTCACTAGTTTCTTAAAGTAGTATTCTCTAGGCAAATATCTGAGAATTGTTGTTTTTCTTAATCATATGCTACATAGATAATCATGTTATCTATAATTTCTGAATTTTATGCCATTTACTTCTTTTCTTGCCTACTGCATTGGCTAAACATTCACTACTATATTCAATAGAAGTGGCAAAAATAGAGATCCCTGCTGTATTCTCCATCTTAGGAGAAAAGTGTTTAGTCTTTCACCATTAAGTACAGTGTTAGTTGCAGCTTTTTCTAGTCCATTGCCTTAACCACTTGGCCACAACTGCTGCTGGTGTGAATTTTGGCAGTTGTAGCTTTTTCACAGATGTCCTTTATCAGATTGAGGAAACTTCCTTTTATTCTTAATTTCCTGAGAGCTTTCATTAGGGATTAACTGAAAATTTTGTCTAGGTTGTTTTGTGCATCTACTTGGATAATCATGATTTTTCTTCTTTATTCTGTTAATATGGCAAATGACACTAATTTGTTTGAGTGTTGAGCCAACCTTGCATTCCCAGGATGAATTCCATTTGGTTGCTATGAATTATTGTGGCTGACATGGAGATGTACTGCCCAGATCTCCATTCAGTGCTCTCTGGTTGAAGCTTACTCTGAGGGAGATGATAGCTGGATGCTGTCAGCTGACCTCACTCCCTGCAGGTAGGCAGCAAGTCCTTCCTTGACAGGGGATCCCAATTGACAAATAAAAGAATACAGACGAGGCACAAAAAATTTTGGTTGGGCATGGAGGTGAAGTAAAGAAAGAAGAAACAGTGAGCTCAGCTTTGTCTTCCTGTGCCCACCAGCCCAATTTCTCCCAACAACTGACAAATTAAATTGAAAAAGACCTGCTGTATTATTCTTCCAAAGCTAAGTTGGATAAATTATTATAAAGTTGACTTTATATATACAAGAAGGTAACAGATATTCATTTGTAATAAAAGTGGGCTTTGGAAAACTATTTATATTGTTGATAAGCTAAAATATAATGGTTTGTTTCCCTGAGAGATAATTGCATGTTGCTAGTAAGAATCAATATTATAGTGAAGGTTAGTAGCTTTCTTTTTTTTTTGAGATGGAGGCTTGCTCTGTCGCCCAGGCTGGAGAGTAGTGGCACGATCTCAGCTCACTGCAAGCTCAGCCTCCTGAGTTCATGCCATTCTCCTGTCTCAGCCTCCCAAGCAGCTGGGATTACAGGCGCCCACCACACACCCAGCTAATTTTTTGTATTTTTAGTAGAGACAGGGTTTCACCGTGTTTGCCAGGATGGTCTTGATCTCCTGACCTCGTGATCCACCCAACTTGGCCTCCCAAAGTGCTGGGATTACAGGCGTGAGCCACCGTGCCCGGCCAAGGTTAGTAGCTTTCAAGTGTGATCACAGCTACTTTACCTGTTCTTTCATTTGCTTGGTTGCCATTTAAGTGCTTTCTTTTATTTTTACTTATGCCACTTCCAAGGAATTATTTGAATATTAAACAATTTGTACTTGCCTTCCTCCCGAAAGGATCTGAGAGAAGGTGGCTCTGTTTACAGCTAGATTGTTGATGTCAATCTGAAAAATTGAGCACGATCTAATCCCACAGTTGGGAAGAATTAAAAGAGTAGATGAATACAAATAGATACTGGGATGCTTTCTTGCTTTTCATGAGTCACGAATTTATAGTGTTGGCCTCATCATTTGGTTTGAAGAGAAGTGAATTCCTAGAAATTCAGAGACTGTAATAATCAAGTACAAAAGTACATTCTTAAACAAAGCTAAATAATTTTTAGACTAAATATCTCTAGGTATTATTCACATCTCTTTTTCATTAGAGAACTGTCATGGGTTAATCAGATATATATGCATTAAATAAATTCTAATTTTTTTTATCTAAGCAAACACAAGAGTTATACTACTAAAAATATTTAAAGGGAATAATACAATTCTATGTTAAGGCATCTAAATAACTACCATTTATCCATGAAGTTGGGTGTTTGAATATTTATCAGATCAGTATCCTAGTTTTTCTAGCATAATACTTACTCCCACAGATCTGACTAGATTAGAGCTATGTTATTTAAGCTGAATGATTTGAAAACATTAATGACTATAACCAGGGTAACCAAATGCAAATTGCTCTGATTAAATATTTATTGTTTAAATTTCATATTCCAGATTGCTAACAGATGCAGTTATTCAAAACCTTTTTAATGGTACTTGTTAAATTATAAACTTAAAAATCAACTAATTACGGTTCAAAGACCCGTCTGTGTATAAAAAGTATTTTGAAATTAGGGGAAATAGCTGTTTTTACTGTTTTCACTCAAGTTATACTTAATCAGGATCTTTTTAAGAAGCAAGATTATAGTAACTAGTAGACTAGGTTTAGAAAAGTGAAAAAGTCTTCACTATTTTTAGAAACATCTGAAGTTTTGATTTTGGAATGAGTTATAATTTTCAGTTACAGAGTTACTAAGAACTTTAAAAACTGGTAAAAAGGAAATTAAAATGTGAATTCAACAAAATCATGAAAATTAAATAACGCTTATAGTTTTGACAGGATAAAAGGAAATACATTTGTGATTATTACCTGTTCCCACTCCATTCCCACTGGGCATCCCACTGGGTTTGGGCCTAGTAGGTCTTGTAGTTGTCCTATTCAGAACTAAAATAAAGTGGGATATAAATAGTTCATTTTCTTATTGAAAGTTTGCAGCCAAGAAAAACAAAATTTATCAGAGAATTGAAAGTCATTTAACTAGGCAATAAAAAGGATGACTTACCAAAAATATTATTCAGAATATAGAAACCACATTCTTGTATAAAAATAATAGACTTGAATTTGAAAATAGAGACCTGAGTTTGTATTCTGAGGTGATCACTGGGTTTCAGAACTTGACTTGAAAAAGTAACTGGCAAGGGAATTTGTAGTCCGAAGTGGGAAATATCTTGTTTCATTTATAGGTATCAGATACATTCCAAAATGGAACTGAAGAAAGATCAGGACTACATATGTCTAACGAAAAAACAAAATCTGAAGTGTATTTATCAAGGTCTCCATTCAGAAGTTGGAGTCTTTCCACATCCTTTCGTGGGAATCCCTAGGTACAGAGGTTTTATTATATGAGTCCTTTCACAAAGTCCGTTGTCAAGCACAGAACTTGAGGAAACCATTTTGCTCTCTTTCCTGCTCTGGAGAAAGTCATAGCCTTACCAAAGTCTCAAGAGGTGACCTATTTTACAATCCATCTAGAAGACTCTAAGGATGAGCACTAAGTGTATTGTGCTTATGTGAGAAGCTCTGAAGCCATACTGCTCATCTTTGATCCACTTTCTAGTTCCTCTCTGTGCCTCAGCTTCCTCAACTATACCTCACAGGGCACATGGCCAGTGCTCGGTCATTATTAGCCATGATTGTTACTGTTTATTTTTTAGAAATGTTTAATATCACCAGTCTCACACTAAGCTCTCAACACCTATCATGACACACAAAGTCACAGGGAGATATACATGGTTATAAAAGATTTCTGTGCCCAATTATCTTTAGAAGTTGGAAAATTATAAACAAGTATATGGACTCTACATAAACCAAAGAATATAAAATTATTGTTCTAAAGATGTATTCACCTAGAATATTCATTCTAAGCAGGTTTCATCATTTGGAACTTTAAGACTTCTTAGAATCACGAAGAAAAAGAAAATAAAACACCAGTGTTTGGTCCAACTTGTGCCTCAGCATAAGAGTGATTTACACGAACTAGATCAACCCCTCCAAGTTAACTTTTTTTCTGAACAAGCTCCTGTGAGGGCAATCCTAGGACCTTTGGAGAATTTAGTAAATTTAACATATTCCCAATATATAATTATAACTTTATTTTTGCTGTTTAGAACTTGTGATATTTTTATTCTCTGAAGGAATCAAGTAAAAATGTTCTCCTAGAACAAGAGCTTTTCTATGCTGAAAAAAGACCATCTTTTCTTAAGAGAGAAAGAATATCTGAAAGTAAGTATTAAATAATATCATGTCATAGCTAACTCTGTGCTACCTCTATAACTGTCAGGAAAATCGTCCAACACTATTTTAAAAATACTTTTAAATCAATAAAATTTCATAGTGATCCCTGCATCTGATTACCCTTAAAATCCTTAGTCAAGTCTTGTCACATTTATGGATTCATCAGTATCTTTTCACTTATCCACACAGATCAGAGTCCCTGTATATCTTTTAATGCAATGTAAGGATCCCCTTTGGTGTATTTGGCTGTTTCAATCCATTTCCTATCTTTCCCTGCCTGCTGATTATTTAAGTCATCAGAGAAACAACTTACCAGGTCTGATGTGTGGCTTGTCAGATGTTCTGGGCCTCACAGTAGTATAAAACCTGTGTGGCGCTGAAAGAGAGGAACACTTTATATTTAATAAGCAACAGACCAAAGCCTCCTGAGTGGAGATTTAGCATCCTAGGGACCAACACTCATACACTTTGCCTGGACATATAAAGAAGGTTGAGAAAATTCCCATTACGCATTATAGACTTCAGCCTAAGGAAAATAAAAGAAAGAAAATATACAAGACTGAAAATTAAAGATGCACATAGAATGAGGTAGTTCATTTGTAAGGTGTGTTAAGGATTAGTCATCATTTTGTCCCTATTTTTCAAGAGCATTTGTTTTACCAGATGTTTGCTTAGCATGATAAACCCATAAGCCATCCATCTGTCTGTTCATCTGTCCATCCATCCATCCATCTAATCTCTCAGCGAAGAGTCATTGTGAAATATTACTTTGCTAAAGAAGTCAAACAATCTTAAAGGTAAAAAGAGAAATGACTGTTTAGGTAGGTAAAGAAGAAAGAGTAGGAGTATGTGGTCTCTATCAAATGGTCTTTGCTCATGAACCTGAAATGAGTAAGTATTCACTCAGTGTCGTCTAAAATGCTGTAGAAATGACAGAAAATGACATCTGGTGCCCTGCCTATCAAAAGAGGACAAGCAAGGAGCAAGAACTCAGATAATCCCTGGGCCAATTATCCAGGACCTGCACAGAAAGGCATCCTAATGAAGACTTGCTGAATGAATGAATAAGTGGGTGACCACTGTATGCAGGCAAACTTGTGAGAACCTGCTGAAACATTAATGCATCCTAAGGTTTCAAGGTAAGCATTCATCCTGGAATTCATCTATTCCATGCTGCCCTCCTCTGTCCCCACTTCCCCATCACATACTGCCTCCTGCCACCAGCTTTCTTGGTAATGTTTTTGGAAAATTTTTTTCCTGCAAACTATGTAAGTAGATTACATCGTTTTAAAGATTTTATTCACATATCGAGTGGATATTTATATAGCCATAAATCAGCAATGCCTTGCCTACTAAGTTAAAAAAAGTGTGCCTGTGAAATAGGTTATAATGTAGCTCATTTATAAACTTCCAATGTAAAGACTGTGATGAGCAGAATTTTGCCATACTTCAAGCCAACAACAGTGGACATGTACTGAAATTCTCTATAGGTTTAGTTTGGGCCTTCCCAAGTGTAATAACCATAAAAATTAATTTTCACAGACCCTAAAGTGCCTGATGATTATCTGCAATTTTTTTCTTCCAATTTTGAGATGGTGGGATTCCCTCTTAACCTATTTCGTCTTTCCATGTAAATCCCTTTGAATGTTAGGTTGCTTCTGCTTAAAAGTAAGAATCATAGTTCTTGTCTCATTCTAGAATACATATAAATTTTAAAGCTTTGGACAGGAAAGAGATTGAGAGTAGACCACAGAAATAATCAGCACTACATGATTTCAAAGCCATGGCATCTGAATTTTTGTTTTAGTTTTCTCCATAGTCTTCATTTAAATCTAGAAAGAATTTTTTTAATAAAAGAGCTGAAATATAATTTCAGTTTAGGTTGTAAGTTACTCATATAGCTCATCACTAAACAATATATGGCCTTGAGAAAACTGCCGCAGAGTTTCAATTTTAAACATAGAAAAAGAGCTAAGGATATAAGAAAAAAGTCAACATATATAAATATGTTAAGACAATTTATATAATGATATGAGATCATTGATATACTCCTAATAACTGGTGAAATTTATATTTAATACAGTATTTTGAAGGAATTTGATTAAAATTCCATATATACTAGTAATGGTGACACAATATTGATATTCTCTTTAAAGTAGGAAAAGGCAAAACAAGGAAAGAACAGGCCTGTGATCTTTTATCCTCATTCTGAAATCCTTATATCTCTAAAAAACTGAAATCTTTCTCATTTGGCAACACAACCTGCGTGGAATGAGAGTCTTTATTTATCCTGCTTGTTGTAAATATTTATGTATTTTGTGGTTAAAACAGATTGATTATGAGAATCCAGCTATCTTCCCTTAAGCCAGAAATTAAAGAGATTTGCAAAAACATGAACTAATAAACATACAGAAATCAGGGTGGAATCGGGATGTATCACAACGGAACATCTGCTCATTGTTGAGGCTGGTGATAGAGATGTGAGAGGCTGACAGATTATACTTCAGTCTTCTGTGTGTAATTATAAACAAACAGCAAATCAAAATTAAATGAAGTAACTGAATAAAAGTTTAAAACATAAAAGTTAAACCATACAAACAAGTAAAAAAGATTTAGAAAATTTAAAGGAACTGCTCTTTACCATAGTCTTAGTCATGTTTACTTGGAGTAAATGTTGCCCCAGTGACACATGTACCTTAAAATTAGATTTCTTTCATTATCGTTTCCTCTTATTATTAAACTTCTCTCACCAACTTTCCCCCGCAAATTAGAACTCATAATGGGCAACATAAACTTATTTGTCTTCTAACTCCCTAAATGTTTGCTCTTTTTGGTCTTATTTTTGGCTTTCTACCATCCGACAGAGGCAGAGATGGGCAAAAGTGGTCATTAAAAAACACCACCACCACCACCACAGTATTAGAAGTCCACAAGTGTTATAACCTAAGTAGGATAGTAGGATAGAAAAGTATAAACAGGAAAATACTTCTGAGTGCATGAAGATGAGATAGAGCTTTGTGTAGGTGAGTTCACTTCCCCGAAAGCAGAAAATCACAGAGAAGAAATAAAAAGTAGGAAATCACTTCTCTGGATGTTTAAATATTGTCATAATTTTGAAAAGTGATTTTTCTTGTTAATAGCTTTTTTTCTTATTAATGTGTTTCATCAAATGGGGGAAGATTGGAGAAAGTGAGAAAAAGAGAGAAGACAAGGAGGAAGACCAGGAGGAAGTTAGAGAGGGAGCAGGAAGAGGAAGAGAACAGTTATTATTTATCAGATATGGAAAACAAGGTAAATGAAGGTCAAATGTGGGGAAAAAATGGAATCTTCCACTCTTAGTTAGAAGCATCAAGTGGTCAACAATACATTAAAAAAAGTAAGTGCCAGTGAAAGAACTTGTCTTGCCTACGTTCAACTGATATTCATATAAGTATTCAGATTTGGCTGATTTCTTTCACCTATAAAATGACAAAAAAATCAAGTAATCAACTGTGATGAGAAATGACATTCTGAAAAGAAAATGTCTTTCCTGATTAAAAGCAAATAAGGAAAAGTTATTCTCCAGAGGTGGGGGAGAGGATTACCCTGAGTTGTCTTTGCCAGTTCAGTTGTTCGTGGAATCTTAGTTGTGAAACGTTCTTGGGTGGATTGGTCTGCTTCTTCTGGAGAAAACACAATAAGATTGGCTTGTTTTAAATAATTACCCTTATGAATATGACCAAAAAACACATACTCTTTTCTACCCCATACAATAATAAAAGGATAAGTTGCATTTAGAAATACACTCAGTAATCGCAATAATTCAGTTAGTGGTACATTTTAATAACTCTCATTTGTGATATCTGCTGTCTTACACTATTATTTTAATGATTGTTATAAGGATTTCCAAAAGCTTTTAGCTCAGGATCATTTTTTCCCTAATCTAGTTGTGGCTATTCTTGGATATGGCTCATGTATGAAAGTCTCCTAGTTGCCTCGATGTATTTATCTCCTTCATGTTTCTTCCCTGCCCATAAATCCCACATGTTACTTTGATGAGGTGGAAAGGAAATATATCATATGAAAAGATGTATATTTATATCACATAAAACAAATATTCTATTTTTCTCATGTGAAAATCAGGGTGTGTGTTTGACATACAAACACAATCCTCTTGACAAAATAAAGAAAAATACATACAGCAACACTTCCATTCCCATGTTACCTTGAAATCACACATCATACAGACACAGCAAATTACCCTGTTCACTTTGCCTGTACTAGATCCAAGGAAACACTTGGTATAAATGATACACTGCTATCTTTTTGTTTTCTGTCCTGCTTTTGTATTCTCTTGATTCTGCTCAAGAAATATACTTGTGATAATTGACAGGTAATGGTTCTGACATGAATAAACCAAGACACATTAGAAAAACAGGGAGCAGAAGTTAAATAATTAGCATATTCAGTAGTGGTTTTTGAAAACTACTTTTAACTTTGCCATCATGGGCGGCATTGATTTTGTAGAAATAAGCTAGACTAGATGAATATTTGATTAGAATATATTTGCTCAATTTTAATTTTTTCTTCCAAAAGGATTTTATTTTAAAATGTGATCAGTAACTTTATTTCAGTAGACACCCACAAAGGATGGATTATCAGAAAAGGAATGAAGGCAGGTAAATAAGGCCACTGATTTAAGTAAAGCCATGTGGGATGCAGTGTAGACAGGAGAGATGCACCAGCAAACACAAGCCAGGAACTCTAGCTTTTTGGTTCATTTTTAACGAAGGTAAACTAGAGTTTCCACACAGTGAACACATTTGTGTTGAACTCCTTGAAAGCATGTTCAGCTCATCCCAATGGAGCTTTCCAACCCACCCATCCTTGTTTCTCCAGGCAACTACCTGCTCATCAGTTTAGTCTAACTGTCACTCCTTGCTCTGTGCCTCTTTTCCATCTGTCTGTAACTTGAAAGAACCATTTGCATCTTTGACTGGTCAACTCTCATTCCAACTTAAAGACCCAGTGTAAATGACCCTAATCTGAGAGGCCTTTCCTTATTTCTCCAGGTTGTTTGTTCAACATGTTGCTCTTTTCTCTATCACACTCATTGTAATTAGTGTAACACTGAGGTTAATCCTAGGCACTCTGGTGGCTGAGTGTGTAGATTCTAATCCTGGCTCTGACACCAGCTGTTTCACCTTGGCCAAATTTTTAAACTCTCTATGCCTCAATTTTCTAATCTGTAAAATGGAGCAAGTAATAGAACTTACCTCACAGAGTTACATGGTTTAAATTTTAGAAAGGCATGTAATGTATTGAGTGGTACAGAGGCTGCAGTATTGGAACTAAGTCCTATCTTCATATTAGAGCGTGAGCTCTCTAGGGTAAGGACTCCTCTTTAAATGTTTCTTCTTAGAACTGCACCACTTAACTGTGCACCGAGTAAAGGCTTAATAAATACTAGATAACTAATTTTTCTTCCCAAATGCAGTTTAAAATACAGAAAAAGCAACAAAAAAGAACAGCATTGATTTCGGAACATTTTTCTTTTTAGAATACTTAAAATTTTTAAGTATTCTAAATCACAATCACCAGAGCCAATTTAACACATCTTAGATGTATTAAAACATTTTATATTGAAAATCGGCATACATATTAGGCCAAATACAGTGTCAATGTAAAAGCGTTGAGTGAAATGAATTTTTAAATAACCTATTATTTAGAAACAAACTATGAACATAATGTATTATGGCTACTCGAAGGGAAATTCCTAAAAGGCAAGCCCTCCTTGAACAAATATTAAAATGAAATTTACCCAGAATGGTCTGTAGTTCCTCTTGACTAGGACTTGGGGAAATCATGGGTATAAAAGGGATGCCTCGTGTCTCTAGAGGAGCTGCAAAAAGAAAAGGACCAAGGTTGTAAATTTTTAGATTCAAAGCCAGCACCAGACCAGATTGGTATCACATGAAATTCCTCCATTTGAAATAGAAAAAGGAAAGAAGAAAGTTAAATGTGCACAAAACTTTCGGAAAAATGACTGTGGGATATTAGAATAATGGTTCTCAACTGTTTTTCCACCAGAACACATACTACATGACATTCTGTTCTTGAACCAATCCATCAGAATGGCTGGTTGAGATGCGGTGTGGGTTAAACACAGTCCTGGACTATTGGCTGTAGCTTCGTCCTTGTCTCCTCCATTCAAGAGAGCATACAGGATTACAAAATGTGTGATAATATCATTGTTGGTATCATCTCCTTGAGTCTGCTCGAGCTCAGTTTAACAAATCACTGGCAATTTTTAGTATTTTGACCAATATTGATAATTACTTGCAGTATCTTTCAAACTTACCACATGCTAGTATGTTACATTACAGCTGAGAACCACTAAACCAATGGAAATTGTTAAATGGGCACCATTAGTAAACACAGTGGACTCGTATTGAAACATGGAGATAAATGAAGTAAATGAAGATGGATTCAGTAATGTCTTGAGGTGGTCTTCAAAGCAAACCCATTACGACAGTGAAATCATGGCTTTTCTATTTTGGAAAGAGTAGTAATAATGAGAATGAAATGATGAAATGAATTGAGAAGAAATGATGTTTCAACAGGATCATTTGAGAAAGGTCTGCAATCCTGATGGTAGCAAAGAAAACAGAGTTAGTTGATATGGGAAAACCATTACCTATTGTTGTCTTTGGTGGCTCAAATCTAAAGGTAACAGGTTGCAGAACTATGCCAAAAGCAAGTCAAAGGAACATATTTATGAGAATTACTACCTGGCAAAGTCAAAATAGTTTCTATATTTTTTAGATGCATTGATTTAATAATTTAAATGTTCTCTAAGAATTATAACAAATAAGAGAAAATTCTGCACATTAGATGCTAATCAGAGAACTTAGTTTAACTAAAACTTTGAAGTTCTCACTTCGGGGAAAATTTTGAGTAGGCATCCACTTTTTTTTAACTTAAAAGTATACCCATAGTTGTAATGTAGCTACATTTACATTTTGAAAGGATGTGAGAGTTGGCTTAGTTAACAATGGTATTGATAATTTTAGCATGATCTACTCAATGAGCCTATGTACTATTCCCTCATTTAACCAAGGAAAAATAGTTCAACCCAGATGATTCAATCTACCCAAAAGGAATATGCATTTTATACCCATATTTTTCTCTGAATTTCTTCCATATCACAACCATTAAACATATATTTACTTCAAGAATTTTGTTTTTGAAAAATACACTTCTTAGCCAGAAGGATGAAATAATTAATTTACCAGGTTCGCTCTGAGAGACCTCAGGGTCTGGTTTATGAGGAAGGAGCACATCTTTTGGAGCTGAAAGAAAAAGATTATAAACACTGTGTATTCTAAATGTCCCAACTGGAGTGAGCTTAACCCACAGATAGAAAAATCCCAGAAAGCATGAATGAAGCAAAAGTATTTTTACAATGGTTAATGACCAAAGTTGAGAAGATGCATGTTTTCTTCAAAATGGAAAAATGTTACCATGCAGGGAAGGTTCTGGTGGCAGTGAAACAGAAATGAAGTCAGTCACAGTTCATTTTGAAGTCTTCCTTGAGGAAGAGGAGGAGACAGCTAACATAATTCAACAATGAGGTAGAGCTCCCTCAAGTGGCTTTCAAAATAGAAAGTCAGGTTTTGCACAAAGTGGTTAGCTGCTGTTTGATATTCATGCGTAAGGTCCACTAACAGCAACAAAAAATATATATCTTAAAGTACAAAAATGGCTACAAATCGAGGGAAACAATAAGAAATGGAAAAGTCTTGAATATGTAAGAAGATAACACAGTCTTATTCTAAATGGCGCTTACAGTTACTGGGGGCAGAAAATGAAGCAAAAAGAATCAACTAGTCATTAGAAGACACCACATGTAAAGTTAATGATAGTACTTATTACTTAGTAAATGATAGCTGTTGCCATTTTTGTCTTCTTTAGTGATGTGGCTTCTAGTATATTAGGTGTCAAGCATGCTTGACATAAGCATATGAAAACAAAAGACAAAAATGTCAGCTGAACAATAGGCCTAGTGGCATATGAAGTCCCTGAAATCCAGTATATTTTTTAATGTTTTAGCAAAATTAAACAGTAGATTGGAAACTTGGTACCCTATTTCTCAGTGGGGAAAATATTAGGGGGATTTGCCTATTTGTTCGTACCAGATTTCTACAACAAAATCTCATTCCACAAATAGTGTAAAGTACTTCAACTCAGTTTCCCCACAAAGAGACCCTACCCAGACCTAATCTCTCAATGAAAGGTTTTCCTACCACGCTAAGCCTTCCATACACACCAGTACCTTTTTGTCAGGCAGTGTAATTTCCTTGCATCTTATACAATGCTGGAAAAAAATTATGATTCAGGCTAGAACTCTGCCTTAGAAGAAAGATGAAGAAACCTTCTTTTTAAAATTTTATTTTATTATTATGAGGTGGCCAAGCACCACTTTACCATTAGTGGAGAAACAGGTTATATAAAATGAACAATCTCTTTTTCTTGTTTTTGGGAATCATGTTTAACTTGCATGCCACGTCTGTTCTTAGACTACGCTGCTAGGTATTAGTGAAATTACAGTTGTGAAAACTGGTGCACTGAACAGAAACTTGACTCAGAACTTCTATGAGCTAAAAGGTAACATCCAAGGGAATTTGAAAATATGGATTGCTTTCTTAAAGAGAAAAGGAAACTTTAAAAAGATTAGTGGTTGATAAGGTAGAGAAAGCCCACCACAATAGTGAACATTTTGCCTTTGCGTGTAGTTTTTTGGGGGATTTAAATAGTAAAATATAAGAAATTTCCAGCTGTAAATGAAACAAAATGTTTATCTTGAGGCTGAAGAAGCCACTTTGATTTAGCTCTGTAAAGGCCATGAACATTCAAAGCAGCCTTCAGTTTATAAATACCCGAGTTAGTTACAGTACTCCACTAAACAAAAAGGAGCTGGGATTAAGGAAAGGAGAAGCTGAGAAGAGATGTGGTACTAATAAATCCACCATACTGTAAATACATTATTCACTGCTGCTCTAGTTTACTGAGGAATTTAGGCTGGGGTAATGTGGATTCCAGCTGCTAAAACTGGCACTTTTCTTTTTAACCATGAAGTGATGATTTAATAAACTGCCATAGCAGACTTCCTAAGCAGGTGAAATCAGTGGAAAGGAAAGAAATAGAAATATTTACAGGAAAGTAATATGAATCATTCTCCTACTTGGTCAACTACAGCTCCAAGAAATTCAAGTTGTTTTTTCTGTTTTTCCTATGTGGCATTCCTCTGTATATTAAACTGAACAAAAGCACGATCCCTAAAACCTACATCTTTCATGCTGGGAGAAACTCATCAATGAAAATAATGATGACAATTTTCTGAGAAAGCAGTTTTGATTTCTTTATAAGAATATTTACTATTATTTTAATTTTAGATTTAATTATATTAACCAACTCCATTTATACTACTAACCAAACTGTCTTTGTTCAATAAAGCGTGCCACTCCAAAGAAAAGTCCAACTAACGTAAGACAAGTAGGAATGCACAATGTCTATCATAGACAAATGTAAATGAACATGCATGAATGTTTTGATAGAGTTAGAAAATAATTAATGTGTTTCCTCTTGACAAAGTTAGAATACGAAGTCTGCAATAAGGTTTACCCTGGCAATAGGCTACCAAGAGACTGATTCTCTTAGAAAAGTAACACGTATAGACTCCATACCCTATTCTATTCCTTTAATCTATACTCTCTATTCCTTTATTCTAACCTTGTACCATTAGGTCCAGTCTGAGAGGAAGCCCCGTAGGAGGCCACCTGCTGGCTTTCCCTGTGCTCTTGGACCACCCTCCCTTCCATCTCATTTGAGGTCTTTTACTTTCCATTATTTCTGTTATATTTCTATTTGCCCATGTTTTCACTTCTCCATGAGTTACTTGCCCTCTACCTACGAAACAGCTCGAATGCTCTAATATCCTAAAAAAGAATCATTCCTTTGACATGGCTTCTCCTTCAAACAATCCCTCTCTCTTGCTCTCATTCCTTTAATAAAAAAACTATCTATCTGCCTCTGCTTCCTCACCTTTTAGGTGTATCTTCTTCATCCACTGTGGTCCAGCCTCCACTCATTTCCTGCAACAATGCCTTAATCATATTCGTAAGTCCAGAAACTCTGAAAGTTGAGTTTTCTCTTAATTTATTCAATGGCAAAACATAACTTATACTGATCTAAGGGCTGTTTATAGGTTTTAGTTCTTCTGCTTGGTAAGACTATTCATACTGCTCACTGAATGCACATTAATGTTTCTAATCAATGGTATATGTACTCATGTAAGTTTCCAAAATCTGGAAACTGCTAATTCTGAAGCATACAGCCTAAAGGTTTCAGAGAGTGGGATTCTGCACATGCACGGTCGAGCTGGCAGCCTCTTCTGATCCCTCTCCTTCTCATTGCCACTGCAATGCCATTGCCAAACTTCCCTTCTTAGGCCTTTTCCTGCCTCATCTCCTAGCTCCTTTCCTGGTTTTCTCTTATCTTTTTTGACAACTGGAGGCTCTTTTTCCCCTGCCTACTCCTTAAATATAACTATGCTGCCTAAATATTTGATTTCTGGCTTATTTTCTCCATCTATATTTTCTCCTCTATTATGTTTTCCAAGATTTAAGAACTATCTAGATGTAAACAAGTGGCTCCTAAATCTGTGCCCCAAATCCTGACTTCTGTTAAGAAGTCCAGACAACATTTTCAACCATCAGTTAGGGTCTTCCCACTCAAAGTCCTACTGGACCTGCAAGCCTAGCATGTACACACCCATCTTTATTACTCTCTCTGTTCCCTGTCTCAGTTAATGGCATTATTATCTACCACTTGCCCAGTCTAGGAACAGCATTGCCACCCTTCTCTCCATAACAGCATTCAGTCATTCTCTAGGTCTTCGTAGTTCCATATACAAAGGCATTTCAGCATTATTCCCTTAGTTTTCTTTCTACCACAATTAGTTCAATTTCTCAGACTTATCTTTCTGGATTGTGGCAAACCTACTAAGCGATTCCTGGCCATTTTTTTCTTTTTTTTTTTTTTTTTGCCAGTTAATATTCCATTTGAAAAAAATCACAGCCATCTTTCTAAAATACAGATGTAATTATATCACTCCCAAGATTACAAAAAGAAACACACACAATTTTAATATCTCTTGTCTAAAGAAAAATTTTTTGAAGTGCTTAGCGTAACCTAAAAGCCCTCAAACATATGAATCCAATTTACATTGTTTTCATCTCTCAATAATCTCATCATATGGCTAGCAATGTAGTCAGTTCGAATCATGCTGTTTCTCAGCTATATGGAGCATGGAATCTCGCTGTGTCGCCTGGCCTGGAGTACAGTGGTGTGAACTCGGCTCACTGCAAGCTCCGCCTCTCTGGTTCACGCCATTCTCCTGCCTCAGCCTCCCGAGTAGCTGGAACTACTACAGGCGTCTGCCAGCACGCCCGGCTAATTTTTTTGTATTTTTTTTAGTAGAGACGGGGTTTCACCATGTTAGCCAAGATGGTCTTGATCTCCTGACCTTGTGATCCGCCCGCCTCAGCCTCCGAAAGTGTTGGGATTACAGGCATGAGCCACCGCGCCCGGCCTGGAGTACTTTTTATACCTCTGAATCTTTGCTTTCTTAAAAATCATCAATAGCTACTTATCTATTAAAATCTATCTTAAAGTTCATTTTCTTGATAATACCTTCTCTAATTCATACATTTAGAATGTATTACTTTTCTTTCATTTTTTGTTTATATCACTAACCCATTAATTACTGAGATTTGGCTTGTTTTATAGTTATTGATATTATTCCTGTTTTCTCCACTGTACTGTGTTGGGTGGTAGAGATCATATCTAATTCTTTTAATCCTGATTTTATCCCTAAGCATGGAACCAGGCAGATAAGTGGCAATCAATATTTGTTGAATTGAACATGCATTAGTGCATTTTTTTAAAAGAACAAATCTGGAAAAGATGGGCAATTCCCATGAATCAGCATTGTACTTTGCTAAGCAACATTTTAAAGACTCAAATTGACCTCTCCCAAAAGTCTCTAATTCTTTTCCAGGGAATTGTAAAACAGTATTAAAAAATCTAGGCCAGGCGTGGTGGCTTACACCTGTGGTCCCAGCTACTTGGGAGGCTGAGGCAGGAGGATCACTTGAGCACAGGAGATCAAGGCTGCAGTGAGCTATGATTGCATCACTGCACTCCAGCCTGGGCAACAGAGTGATACTCTGTCAAAAAACAAAACGAACAAACAAACAAAAAACAGAAAAGAAAGAAAGATCTAAATAAATAATTTATTAATCACATCAATGGCATATACAAGCTTACGGAGATTTTGAGGCAAAGAGAAAGGCACCGAGTCACTAAAATTTGAGGGGAAGCATATTGATGTTTAATATATCATCAGGCAAATAAGCAAATTGCTGATTAACTCCTGATTTGAATTCTCATATTTGAGAAGAAAGACATCTTGCCTCTAGGAAAATTGATTTGAAAAAAAAAAACCAAAAAACTATTTTAACAAAGAATAAATTTACATAGTACATCCTTAAGGGGAAAAAGAAGAAGCTTTAGGAAAAAATGGCAAAATGTCTAGAGGATGATAATGAAACACTGTAGAACAGTAATGATAACAGTATGATCTTAAGGAGGCAGTTCTCTGCTCATCCCAGCTCCTATTTTGACAAAAAGTATAAATAGAAATAATTGTCAACTATTGTTATCTTGGCTTGCTCAATTCTAAACGTATTGTCTTCTAAGACTATATCAGAAAACATACATTTATTAGGTGAATGTCCAATCAGGTTTCTAATATAAATCTGGCAATATTTTAAAGTATGTAATCCAAGCAAATGATTGCTTTATGAACTCTATCATTTTAAACAATAAGGCTCAATTTTTTTTTTTTTTTTTTTGAGACAGGGTCTCGCTCTATTGCCCAGGCTGGAGTGCAGTGGCCGGATCTCACTCACTGCAAGCTCCGCCTCCCGGGTTCACGCCATTCTCCTGCCTCAGCCTCCTGAGTAGCTGGGACTACAGGCGCCCGCCACCTCGCCCGGCTAGTTTTTTTTTTTTTTTTGTATTTTTTAGTAGAGACGGGGTTTCACCGTGTTAGCCAGGATGGTCTCGATCTCCTGACCTCGTGATCCGCCCATCTCGGCCTCCCAAAGTGCTGGGATTACAGGCTTGAGCCACCGTGCCTGGCCAAGGCTCAATTTTTAAGAAATGTTTAGAATTAAACACTTATTAATTAGTTCACAAAAAACTCCCCTTAAAACCAGTTTAACTGAAAACATAAAACTATAGAAACCCTGAAAAGTGTGACTACAAATAATTTTCCAAAGGGAAGAGACACATGGAACATTCGTGAGGATTTGGATAGCTTGCTGAAATCTAGATTTTCTTCCTGGTTTGCTCCTGATGACTGAAATCTATCCCAGTGCCTGGGGGCCAGAAGGTTGACCACAAAGCCAAGACAGGTCTTGGTGTAGAAAGGAACTCATAAGGAAGACAGAGCTCTGTTGAGCCAGGAACCTCCTGTTTAGACTCCAAGTTAAATGGCACCTGTTTTCTAGTGAGGGAGTTATTTGCTCTGAATTCTAAATCATTCTTCCAAGGTGGATGTGGAGAAAAGTCACTTTCATTTTGGTGTGGGCAGGGAGTGTGGGCTCAATTTGTCAAGATTCCTCATTAAATGTTATAGATAATTCAACTGAGTGGCTGGAAGGGTTTTTCTAAAGGCCTCACTGGATGAAGCTGGTGTTATGCCTAGGAATCTACAGAATGGAAGTGCTGTACAATGAATCTTAGACTGACTTCCTCTTTGATAAGGTCAAGAAATCCAAGTTTGTTACTTCTGATCTCTCTCAGAATAAATTTTGAGATAAATGTCACAACAAAACATAACGCTGTCCTGACCTCAGCACTACATTTTAGATTTTTAGACTTTTACAGAAGAGTTTATTTCTCCAGGATACTAATACGTATTAAAATACACATGTCATTTACCCTGTTTTTTTGAAGTATAACCCACAGGACCTGGTAAACAAAGTATTGGGTTCATTAGGGTATGAATTTGAGCCTAGATAAAATCTAAAAACTGTTTGAACACATCAGAATCCAATGTGTTTGAACACTTCGGAGAAAACTGAAATGTAGTACGAGTTGCCTTATGATTATTCCTGGGGGTGCCACACCCCTGGGGCAAGGGAGAAGAAGCCTGATCATGTGGCAGGGCCAACACCAGGTTTAGGGACAGAACCTTAACTCTGAACATGTGGAGCTGGAGAAGTGACAGAAGACCACTAAGACAGGCCCTAGTTCTCCAGGAGGCAGTTCTCTACTCTGCTCATTCAAACTGCGGATAAAAAGTATAAATAGGGATAGTTGTTAACTATTTGTGTTGTTACAGGGATCAAGATCACAGGTTAGAGTTTCTATGAAAAACAAGGTGTTGGTAGAATTAAGGCAAGTTTTTTTTTTTCTGCTAAAAGTGGTCTGCTCTTTATAACTTAGCTGTGGGAGAACATTTGAAGAATGTGGTTGAAGAGAAGGACTAGCTAACAGAAAAGATTTTAAAATAAATACCTTAAAAATAATTTTATGATAGTAAATTCCAAAGGTATATGAAAGTAGAAAAATAGAATGAATTCTTAGGTACTCACCACCTGACTTCAATAATGGCCAACTCATGCCCAGAAGGGCAAATATTAAATACTAAAAGAGGAAAAAACTTAACTATTCAATATATTGGTGTAATGAGATTATACCAATAATATTATTTTTTATACTGAAAAGGAAAAGTAAATAGTCACTCAAATCTACTGTTATCTATAACAAATTAATTTCCATTACATTCATTTCCACAATTGAAAATAAGCTGATCTTTTGCAAGTGAGATGAGGTTTTTTCCTTACTTCCTGTTTATAATATTGGCTATTGTGTTTGGGGTAGTACAAATTTACATTCTAGACTTCAGGGCAAAGGAGATTCTCTCTAGCCTGCTACCACCACCACCACCAAATTGTCTATACCACAGCAGCAATAATAGCCTTTGCTTATACAATCTGGAAAACATTGTAACAAGTGAATTCAGGCTTGCTTCCAAAATGCTATCATTTTATACTATAGCTTAGAAATTATTTGGCTCTGGGAATGTTCTATATGCTTTTAGGAATTTATAATAATTGTACCTTTAAAAAGAAAGAGAAAAAACTCACAGTATTTCCCAGATTCTCTAGTTAAAAATGAGCTTGGCTTTTTAGAGAAAGTTGTTCAGTTACCAGTGGCTTCCTGAGGCCACTTGAAGACTTCATGTAAATAGTGGTGGTAATATCCATGAAATGTCTGGGCCCTTGGAATCCCTACCCTGGATACTCCACAAACATGAGATTACCTTCCCCATATGTGAACAAAAGGCCTTCTCAGATGATTGGCAAAAAACAGATTTGTAACTAAAGAAACCATTGTGTGTGTGCGAAAGAAATTTCTTAACCCAAGCTATGTCTCTGTAAATTTGTAAAACAGAATGTGACAGGGAAAAAACTCAATGTGGACATAGTACAATTTATGTATCCAAGTAAATGACTAAACATCATTGCCTCTATTTGTAAAAACACTAATTTATCATTCGTAGGGAAGAGCAAGTCTTTATCTTTGTGTTTAGTGAAATATTTGAGCATAGCGTAGCTAGAATTGGCAGCATTTTTTTGTAAGTCAGGGAATAAGAGAACTTTAGTTCTAGGAAAGACATTCTAACCTTGGCATAATTCTCTGCCTTTTGACTGCGATCACAGCTTTAATAGATGAACAAGTGGACACTCTTATGAAACTTCTGAAATTATACCACATATGATACAACATGGGATTTAAACATAACTGAAATATTGACCTCACTTCCATCAAGTCTCGTGTTTCACTGAAGCAGAGTGGGGCAGTCGAACGCGTTTGGCTTAAACATGAAATAAAGCATTTACCAGGTGTGGTGTATGACACTTCTGGACTCGGTGACGTTTTTGGTTTTGCAGTAACACGCTGGGGCCCCTTAGGAACTGAAAGAGAGAACTCATATTGTAAGTCATTTGGTTTCAGCACCTTCCAGTCATGCTTAACACATAAAGCAAGCCAAGGTGTAGCCTGAACACTGACAAAACAAAGTATTACCCATACGGGAGTCAGACAGAAGACCAGTCCTTAAGCTCTACAAATAGCTTAGTTAGAATTCCAGATAATTATAGAAGAGTGAAATCTGAGAAACTGCAAAATTTCAAATTACAAAGCATCAGAGTAAGAGGACGACTTTTTAGAAATCTATTTCAGAGGAGACAACAACTGAATGCATGTAAGAGAGCTTTTCTTTACTGGATATGTTTGCTTGACTTCTCCTTAAATCCATTTTTATGTCTTTCCTTAAAGACAAAGTAGGTAAAGATGGTGAGGTCAGGGTGGAATCCTATGGAGCCTGGGTATGCTTGAAGTCCTCTCGGGCAACAGCAGAGTGGTAAGCAGACAATGCAATGGAATGGGCTGGTTCACATCTTACCCGCCCTGCATTTCTCTGGCCCCAGAGAAACCTTCAAATGAATTTGTTGACAACTAAAATTAGATTTCCACAACTGTTCCTTGGGAATAATAAGGTACTAATATAATAGACACCAGGAAAATAAGTCTAACAATTATAGTGTATTCTACGATTTCAAAAGTGCTTTTATAAGGTTTACACCCTTTGAGTCTCACCATAATGTTGGGAGGAAGGAATTATTAGCTACACTTTAAAGCTGATGAAACAGAGCTTTGGGTGTGTGACAGCATCTGCTCGAGGCTATGGTTAAGTACCAGAGTCAGGACTTGAACCAAATGCTGAGGATCAAACATTATCAATAGGTCTAAACACTTGGGCTCTCTATATCCCAGTTCTGCAGGGCAGATTTTCACTTGCTTCTCATTTTTTAAGGTGAAACAATAAACCCGCCCTAACTCAAGATATAGTTATAAGAATCCAATGTGAAATGTCAAAATGATGTGAAAATTACACTATTATAATTTTTTTCCACCTCTCAAGGAGCTTTACAAATTTGGTTTTGAAGACTCTGAGTACATTCTGATTTTCACATTGTTTGCCCATGCAAAATCTAGGAGCACCCATAATTTTGATGGTTATAAGAAATTCTAGGCATCCAATTAACAACAATGTTGCTATTACCTGTAAACACTGGGATCTAAGAAATCAAATTTTATTGACTTATCAAATATTCCTTATGCTTTTTTTCAGATTTTAGATCTCTTTTTGCCTTTGAATGCCAAATATAGATTTAAACATTGCCAATTTATAAACACACTTTCAGTAACACTAACAATAAAGGTGAAATGCCCAAATTACAGAATCTTATTATGTGAAGGGTGGTAAACAAAATCTGCTGCACTTTAAGTTGTAAATACTATTGATAGATGATATTATAGCCCAACAACAATAGTTTGTATTGATCATGCATACAAACAGGACACTCTCCTGTCCAAATGACTTTTTGAAATTTGCAGGAACTAGCCAAGGGTAAGGGAAGAAGTATTAGAATTTGACTATTTGTCTTTAAAATATTTTGTGATATATACGTGTACATATACACACTTCCTTGAAAAACTATCAAAATCCAGGATACTGCTGGAACCTATTACATGAGTCACGTTCTTGTGGGATAAGGAGGTCTCAGTTCTACCCACTTTGAAAAAGAATAAGTAGAATGCATTTTGTTTTTCACGACCAGTTTTCCAAATTGTTCCCTTACATTCAGTAGCACTGACAAAGCCAGAAGTGTCTGGTTTGCAGCTACTTTCCACAAGAGACGCTGATGGACTGGAAGCTGCTTCAATCGGGACATCAGAAGGCTCTCTCACTACATTCTGGCAGCCACTCCATGGTTTCAGAGTTAGAGAGTGGAACTCACTGAGCACGTGAATCTCTGAAGAGCCTGTCTTGTCAAGAAAGGTTGGCTAAAAGTCTAAGTCAAAATGAAATACATTTGAAACTTAGAATATAATAATGGAAAATTAGAGCAAGCTCCTGATTTACTAAACTGCATTTTAATAAAGTACAAAGTACATCTTAAAAAGATAAAATTGCAAATAATTTTGTCCTATTACTTCATATCTCTTTTACTTTAAAAATTTTGTACTGACCATGATTCATGCCTGAGCATTTTAATTTTTAGTATTTATTTTTCCTCTTTTATAGTTCAACATTCAGGTTTTCATGCTTTCTTCTTCCCATTTGTTTTCTACTTTTGTTCTATGTTTTATATTCAAATCCAAAGCTGAGAGCTTCTTCTCAAATAATTTTGTCTTTTTTAAAGTTAGATTTCAGTTTCCTATTATAACAAATTTAATATACTTTATTTAATAATTTAGCATATTCTTAAAACTTTGATGTTTTTATTCATATTCATTATTATTCACTAATCATTATTTTCTCAGACTTTTAGTATGTTAATGTTTCAAATGTATTATTTAAAATTTCATATTATTTTGGGGGAATGCTACCTTGGTACCTTCACATATTTATTATCAGAATAAATTATTTTCATAACTAAGTTTTAGTCATTAGAACATATGTAAAATTATGCTAAATAAGGCAGATTTAAAATCATAGAAAAAATTTAATGATAGATAAAATTTTCCTCAATTGATATTAGAGACCACACCTAAAACTACAGGGGTTTTCTTTTCCCCTGCAGAAAAACAAGAATGACAGTACCTAATGGCAGAGATTCTGAGGTATGAGTAAAATATTTGTGGTGGGAATCCAGAATCACCACCTGGATCAAGCATAATGTGACGGTGCTACACATTTTCCCTTCCCCAGACCAGATCAGTGGTAGCAAAGGTTCCTTTCCCGGTATCCTGGGTGGGTACACCTCACACATTTGTTGTAGTCAGGCCATGTATTGAGGAAAATGTCAAATTAGATGACTGACAGAAGGAAGCACATTCAGGAATAGTGGAAGGGATAGGAGTGTAGTCTCAGGTCGGGGAAGGAAAAGGAAGTAGGCAGGCTACTCTTTCTAAGCAATTCCATTCATGTCCACCTCATCTTCAATAACACAACATTAAGGGAAGCTTTGTGGAATAAGCTCTTCCAATGATGTACTTTTTTAGTAAGTCCAAAAAGAAATTTAAATGTTTATTAGGTTACAGAGGAAGACTTGCTTTGCAAATGTTAAAGACTCAATCTGCTATCATAACTATTAATGAACAATTTGCTAGAATAAGCCCACTAACCTCAAACTTTTCAAGCTAAAATGTAAAATATATCTTTACCTGGTTGTGTTTGTGGAATTCTTGGGCGTGGCGATGTTTTTGGCTTAGGAAGAGCACGCGGTGTCTGCTTGGGAGCTAAAAGAAAGGATATAGGTTCGGAAATTTTGAGCCCTTCAAGAATGACAGTACCTAAGCCTCTAGAAGCTCGGAGATGTTTACTGATGGCTGAAGACCTAAATACCCAACGATTAAGGCTCCTAAAGATCTGTAAAGTATAGGAAGGCAACTTTTTTATGTAACAGAAAACAAAACAAAAAGTCACATTAAATGATATCTAAGATGTTCAGCTGGCAAAATGAAACTTGGGATTTCAGAAATACTGACATCAAATACCTTTTAAATAGTTTGAAAATAAATTCATAATAACAAGAATTCATCTTTATTGTAAGTTCATATAATTTTATCAGAATATTTAGTTGTACTATTTTAAATGCAAATACATGTTTTCTAAATAAAAAACAAAGTTAACATGTTATAGTCCAAATATACAATGTATTTTAATAGCAACTGCTAATGGGAAATTAATGTTACTAAACAAAATGCAGTTTTATTGGTTATATAGGGGAAAAGAGGGAAGATAAATTGAACACCAAGGATATTTTCTATGGAGAGTTATTCCTTTGCTGAGCAAATCCTAAAGAAATTCTAGGACAATCAGTGTAAAAACCAATTTTTTCTTCACCAAAAAAATGAAAAATCTATCCTGCTAAGGAAAGGAATTATCAGATGCAAGGTTGCAGCTTGTGGAAACACCTCATCTGGTTGAATTAAAATGTGTTTGGGATAAAGAAAGGTAAGAAGAAACATGGTCAATGTCATGTAGCTTCAGACACCTTAAGAAAAACTTGCTGAAAGTTAAGAGTTATTTGACACCAGAAGTTTCTGAAGGAGTCTGCAGAATCTTCTTCCTGATACTAAATGAAAAAATACAAGGTATACAATGGTTTCAGTGGAATCTTCTTGCCTGTAGAGAGATGAATACTGATAAATGTTGGAGATGATCTGGTTTAGAAGCCTGGAACCTGGGGGATTAGAGCTCCCTTTGCTAATCACTGGATCTACGGTCTCAGGTTTTTCACCAAAATTACACAATTTTTAAGAACCCTTCCAATCTTAAAATTCTGTCATTCTAGAGTTTCTCACAGTTTGTGATTTTCTGATTCTCAACTACCCTACTTGCTAAGGTTCTAACTGATATGCCACTTACTTTCCCCAGAGGATAAGAAAGACCATCTGAAGGTTAGGCATGTCATGAAGCAATTCCATGAAAAACGATACAGAATGAGATAAGAATCACTAACAGCAGTATTTACGATGAGACATTCCAATAATATTATTATAGTTACTAAGAACAAAATTTGGAAAAGTTAGGTATAACTGTCAGATTTTATTATTTTAGTCAATGTAGGTTTTCTTTTTTGTTAAAAAACTGTAGGGTTTATAGGCAACATCTAGTAGGATATTCAGCAGACAGTGAGTAAACTTGAAATCCGCATCTCCCTTTGAAACAGAGTAATATAAAAATAATTTACTGACAATCAAAACAGAAGTTTGGGCTTATTTATAACCTTCTATTACATTGAAACCTATAGCTATTGAGAGGATTTTTTAAAATAAGAGGCATATTTAGTTATTCATGTTGATTATTTTTCATTCATTTCAAACTCCACTTTGGCTTATCACAAAAGTTTTGTGATAAGCCAAAGTAATTGTTTTGATTTTGTTTTTTCTTATTTGTGTGCAGTGAAATGGCCAAAGCACTGCAGAAAGGAGTGGAAAGAAGTAAGGTATCTGAATAACTACAAGGTGACTGGCCAGTACACTCCCTTTCATGTGGATTGCAGTCAAACTTGTTTCTGGAGGTTTCTTTTAAAACTCAAATCAGAAAGCTTAAAATACTTTTTACATGATCACAGAACTTGTAAAACTAGTTGAGATGAATTGGAATTAAAATCAGTATATATATATTTTAAAATGGAACAGAATATAAATGTTCTTCCCAGAAGCATTCCTATTCCCTGAATTAAACACTTGCAGAGTAACTGAGAGGTATTTTTCAACCATGTCCTAAAGAACAACACTGCCGTTTGAGTAATTATCAATGACAGCAGGACATCAGACAGATAGGATTACCCAAAGTCTGTGGGCAGAATGATAAAGTCAGGGCCTCTGATGTCTTGAGGTGACCATGCTGACATTCTGTAAACACTCACCTCATATATGACATACAAAATAACGTATTTACCGGGTTCAGTCTGAGGCTCATCTGGGCTGGGTAGGGTTATAGATTGAGAAGGCAGAGGCGACGTTTCTATGGTAATTGAAGGAAAGTACGTGGGTTACTATAGCACTCGACATACCTTGAGTACAGATAACAGGCAGGATGGTAACAAATACATTTTTTAAAATAAAGAAAATTGCAAGTCTGCAGCAAAACAGCATTCCTACTCCTTCATAATGCATTTAGTTAAAAAAAAATAGTTGCAGATGCAGCTTACAAAGTACTTCTAAAATTCTCATTTCACATTAGAACTCTACCTGCTCAACCATGCCAGAAAGATATATTCAATAGGAACCATGAAGGGAAAAAGAATTTTAAAAATCTTATACTATGAGTCATTTAAGCAGCACTGACTTTCACTTAAAGAATGGAGAAGAAAACCACGTATGTAAATAAATGTGATGGGATGAATGTTAATGGAAAGTATGTTGCTAGGTCAGAAAGTATAAATGGATCATCACACCGAAAAAGCATTATCTGAAACATTCGACACAATGCCAAGCTGGCAGGATGTACAGTGTTAGGAAAAAAATTTTTAGATTCAACAGTTCTGCTGACTTATGAAGAGAAAAAAAGCAAAGTCTTGTTACACAACTGAATGGGAGGAAAGACATTTTTGGACAATGGTTATGGATAGGAGCACCTGAAAGAAAAGCAACTGCCATGGTGAAGAGTGACGGTGTAACATGAATTCACAATGAGATAGACCCGGAGGTTCTCAGGCGATGGTGGCAATGAGGACAGAAAGCACACAGCGTTGGGCTACCAAGGTTATTACCTAGTGTGGTCTCAGGTGGTTCAGACACATAGGTAACAGATTCCACAACTGTACCAAAACAAAGGAGAAAAATTTTAGAAACTAAGATATTAAGCTATAGTGAAGTATTTTTTTGAATATCAAATTTTATTAAGAATTTGCATCATAATTTTACAGACAGGACAATGGATTTAGACAGGAAAAAAGAATTAGGAGAAAAATCCTATTCTATAATACTAATTCACCAATTAACATTTATGTTTTAATTGTCATTAACTGGGTTTCCAATGTTATTATACCTCAACCTTTAGACTTCAGCAGAGAAACAGGAATTTATTTTTGTATTCAGAGAGAGTCAATTATCACCTTAAGAATTCAAGAACATTGGAAGCTATAGCTCTTCAAATCTGTTTAATTGTGAATCAATGTCATATTCCATGGATGTAACTGATGTTAATTTAAAATGTGTAGAAAAAGTGAATCCAAGCATTAAAACCTTTGCTACCTTCAGTCTTTGGCTCCTCTGGCCAGAGTGGTGCTTTGGCAGTGGGATATACATAGTCTGTTTTGGCTGGTGCTAGAAGAAACGGGAATGGCTGATTAGTGGTGGGCAGCCCAAAGCATACTGTAATAGAACCCTGCATTTAATTTGAAAAAGAATTGAGCTATCTTAAGCAGATACACTCTTGAGAATAATTAACATTTAGGTAGATTATGAAGATGACCACAATTTAGGAGGGCAGAATGAAAGCAGGAAATGAAGGCAGTGCACTATGTGGGAAACACGCACACCCCATACACAATGTATGGGAGACTCAACAGCAATTCTACCTGGAACAAAGCAGATAATTCCACTTTCATTTTTTTTTTTTTAAATAAGAATTCTAGTTAGAAACACACATAGAATGAGTACTTGGAGAGCAAAAGCATGGGATGAATCCTAAAAGTGATGTGAAAATGAAAAATAGGTTGTGCATATATGTACATATTCATATTGAAAGAGCAATCAGAAAAGGTTAAAATTTTCACTTTGAGTGAGAATAAGGAAATTATGAAACTTGCATAGCAATACAGCAGATGTGAACACAATGTGCTGTATACAATGACATTCAAGACCCATTGGATGAACACAGCCAAGCTATGAGGAGCAGGTGGCTATGAAATGTCACAAAGCATGAGGACGTCCAGAGATGACTTTGCAATGAGATGGAAAAGCACATATGCTTGACTTCCCATTGGGGAACATTTTTACCTATAGTCTCCTTTGGTGACTCAGTACTAAATGTAACCGATTCCAGAACATCAGAAACTAGTAAAAAACAGAAAATGGTACAATTGATAAAGAATAGGTTGTAAGTATTTACAAAAGTGGTTTGCATCCTGTAAATGTTCAATGTTAGGATAACAACATTATTAACACTAAGGGAAGCTCTCATAACTGAACTGAATTCACAACATTATAACTACTGTAGGTTACCATTAGCAACCTACTTTGTACATTCAACATGAGTACCAAAATGTCATTTATCTAATTAAAAGATACTCAGAAGAGATGGAAAGAAATTACAGTCCTATACTAGAAAAATTTAGGGATCCAGTGTTTTAAAATAAATATCAGGAAGTAGCAACAACATTGCTAATACTGATTTTTAAAATTTGCATCCATTTTTTCCCCCAGACCGGGTCTGGCTTTATCAACCAGATGGAGTAGGGTGGCATGAACATGGCTCACTGCAGTCTTGACCTCCTGGGCTCAATAGTCTTCCCACTTCACCCTCCTAAGTAGCTGGGACTACAGGCATGCACCACCATGCCCAGCTAATTTTTGTCTTTTTTGTAGAGTTGAGGTTTTGCCAAGGCTGGTCATAAAATTCTGAGCTCAAGCAACCCACCAGCCTTGGCCTACGGGATTACAGGTGTGAGTCACTATGCCTGGCCTATTTACAAGCTTGAAGGGCAGTATGGTTTAAAGGGTACACATTGTTTATGAGGAAATTTTATTATTTTTACTGAAATGAGAAATTTCTCCTTCCTGGATGGTCACATTTGAACTAGTGTTCTTTTAGCACAAATTTACTATTAAAGTGAGCCACAGACTTGTAACTGTTGAAAAAATAAGGGTAAATAATAAAATTAGTTCTTCTAAGTGGTTTGTCAACCACTTAATCAGATATGTGATTTTCTAGAATGACACAAATGCAACAAGTATTTTTATACATTCAAGTAGTAACATTAATGTATTACTAATTTAACAATATGCAATCACAAAAAAGAACATTGTGTAATATTTACAATTAATGTGTATTCCTTTTTCATTTTTTATCTTTGGAAATATAACTTAGAGAATTACAGTGTGCCTCTTAAAGCACACAGTATACCCAGACAGATAAAACAATCTATTTACCAGGTCGACTTTCTGTCATTTCTAGGCTTGGTGATGTCACTGGTTTCAGAATAAGAGTTTGCAGGTCAGTGGGAGCTGAAAGAAGAGGGTCTCAATTGTAAAAGTAATTTTATTTATTTCATAGGTTTTAGATAGAGGTAGCAGCGACTAAAACACACAGACCCTGAAAATCATGAGGTTACAGAGAGCCATACAGAATGTGCCCTGTTTAAAGCAGATGTCAGCAAACTATAGCCCTTCCAAGTCTAGCCCTTTGCCTGGCTTGTGGGCCAATAATGGTTCTCACATTTTTTTTTAAGTGATGGGAAAAAACGAAAAGTGATATTTCATGACACGTGAAAATGGTATGAAGTTCAAATAAAGTTTTATTGGAAGACAGCCATATAATGAACTAAAATTGTTCAGGGCATATTCATGTATCAGCTTTGGTTGCCTTCCAGCTAAAACAGCAGAATTGAGTAGCTGTAACAGAAACCGAATGGCCCACAAATTCTAAAAAAGTTATTGTTTAACTTTTCACAGAAAAAAAAAATTGCTGACTCCTGATTCAAAATATCCCTCTGAAAAAGCAGGAGCCTATTTGGAAAATTAAGTTCTCATGGACTATTGTATCTGAATCTCAGTTCCCACAAGAGCTAAGAGCTGCCTATAACTGATTTCATGATAGTAACATTAACAAAATGTTGAATATCATCTAGGAGCGCTTTGTTCTATATTTTAGTTTCACCATCCCCTTAGCCACCCTTAACAAGTATTGACACTTATTTTATTTGTGCTGTTCCCACCCTTCCACCCTATAATCCAAATCCTATAATTATTTCAAAGCCCAACTACTCTCTGTCATCAGCCCACATCGTTCCTTGACTCCTGTAAATATAGTCTGTTTTTACTACTCAAACAAGCAGTTCTCATAGGAGGAAATTGCTCTATATCTAGAAAACTGTATCTAAGAAAACCTTAGGGTTTCTTCACAATTACTTTGTACTGTAAGAGGTAAAATCTGTCCTTTCTTTCGGTTTCTACCTCTGCTCCTTATTCCACCCCATTCAATTGTTAATATGGTGCTGGGTACACAAAGAATGAGGAAGTGATTGTTTTCTTAAGCAAAAGTAGCAGCACCATTGAGAAAGAGATGAATGAAATGGAACAAGAACTGTGTAAGATCCATCCTTTGTTAGATACAGTCCTTATGCAGGGCACACGATGAATTTAGCCACTGGATAGATCTCCCTCAGCTATCAATCTAATAATGAGTCCTGTAATTGTCAAGCTGTTGACCACTATAAGTGCCTTTTCTCTTTGAAGGCACAGAAATGGGAAGATATTCAAGCTTATTTTGATACCTGTGATTCAAGTACAATGGGCTAGAGGGACTCCTTAAACCTTCTAAAACCTAAACCATAGATTTTTGTTATTTCAACTGAGAGGCTTTAGGGAGTTTAAGGTCTGAGGGATGGAATAACCCCTATTCATCCTCCTTTCTGTTTTTGAAACTAAAAGATGATGATCTTGGGTTGCTATAGTGTTTGTAGGTCTAGAAAGCATTGAAAGCATTGTATGTAGACCTATGTTTTCTAAAACAGGTTAGATTTTCTTGAGTTTATTTCCTAAATTAAAAAAAATGACTACTTTGTTTCTGCTCACTAAGGGTTCCCTTAGAGATCCTTAGTATGAAGTTCAAATATCACATATGAAGTGATTAAAGGAATAAATATCGAACATGCGTAGATATTCAGAGGGATTCCTACTTAGCAAAGATTAAGAGCCATTGCTAAACTGTGGTGAAGAAGAGTGGTCAAGCTCATCAGTGATTGAGGAGCCTGGAACTTTCAGGGAAAAGCTATTTTAATGTAATAGGGACACCTTATTCCTTAAAATAGGAAGAAAATAATGAGACTAAGACACAGGTTTTATAGAAACTAAGTTACTCAAAGGGAGTTCATGGTACTTAATTGTTGCTTTATAGATCTAAATACCAAATGGAAGGGTATTTAGGTCTATAAATACTAAATACCAATTTGGACCTCAGATTTAACACTGAATCATATGGTGCAATTTTAAAGAGAGTTTCACGATGGACAGCTGTCCTTCACTGGGTCCAGGGACATCTGCGAAAAACAGATAACACCAAGACTGCTGACTATTTTAAAATGAAGTGTAGAATGGAATAACAGCGTCTTAGGAAGCAGAAGCAACTCTGGCCATGATGGTGCTCAAGTAGGTTTTTAAACAGCAATAAAAAGCATTTAATGCAAGTCACAAAAATCATTACCAAATGTTGTTCCTGGAGCATCAGTACTATGAACAACAGGTTCAAAGCCTGTAACAGAAACTAACCAAAAGCAACATTAAAAAAAAAAACCCTCAATTTTTATTTTCAAACATGAGTTTCAAATTATACACAATTTTTTTTAAAACTTTGGAATTGATAGGAAGCATATAGTTGCTTTTGGAAGATTTGGCCACACTAGCTAGAACAATTCATCACAGAAGGTAGTTACAATCTTTGAACTCTGCTACATATATTGATATTATCCACATGAGGTTTTCCTAGGTATTTGGTTTTCTAAGTAGTATGGATGTTTGCTTTGGAAATTTGTTTAGGCAACAGATATGAAAATATATAGAGAAATATATATGAAAGTAACTTGTTGCTTTTCTTGGAAGTTGAAAAAAATGCCTGTTTATGTAACCATGTCTATTACAAATGGATCACATGTTTCAATGTAGATATAGCAATAAATACCCATGAGTACGCTAATCTCGCTGGAAACGCATCTTTAAAGAGGGACCAAAAACGTCATTCAAACCAAGTCATTTAGGAGATCAGGCACACGTGTCCCCAAGCCATGTTCTCCTGGACGGCTCTGTATGAGAAGCAGCCGCTACCATGTCAAATAATTTGATTCTTAGAAAACATGATGACTGTTACTTCCTGTCATAGGCATTTCGTTAGGACTTCATTGGGACAGCCCACCAGGGTTCAGGTTCCTTGGCTCCTTAAACCAAGGATTCATACATTTACCCGATTTGTTCTGAGGTACTTCAGGACTTGATGTAGTTTTGGGTCTGGGACGGGGACGACGTGTCCGTTGTGTTTTAGGAGCTGAAGGAAGAAACTCTGGATTACTCTAGTGCAGGTGGCTTTGGAGACAAACTTTAGGTTTTTAAAGGTATGTCATATTTCCTTGAGATTTAAGTCATATGTCTTTTAAGATTAAAATATTTTCTATTGTGTTAATTTTTTTAATCACTGAAAGATTCTTGAGACAGGAAACTTACGTATAAAATCAAGTTGAAAAGTGAAGAGACTCACACCTCTTTAACTTCAAAAACACTAGAGCCAAACTCTGGATGATAGAATCTTAGGCTCACACTAAATCTTTTGAGTATGCCAAAGAATCCATGATACCATAAGAACTGTTAGAGTTTAGCCAGTTTAGATAAGATACAGCCACCAGCAACTGTGTTTGAAATTTAGCTTTAGACATGAATGCTGTTTAGACAAAAGCAGATGACACAAATTCAAATAAGATTACATGGTAGACTCTGAACTAGGTCCATGCATAGCTTTTGAAAATAATAGGTAACTTCTAAGGATCACTAATACTCTAATATAAAGTTGAAGGACAATATAAAGTTGAAGGACAGCAGAGGATGACAAGATAGTCCTACAAAGCTGATGACAATGTGATTATGATAATGATGGAATGGATTTGAAAATAAGCAGGGAAAAATTATTCAGGAACACAGAATATCATTACCTAATGTTGTTTCTGGAATCTTGGTTCTAAAAGTATCAGGTTCAAGGACTGTAGAAACAACTAGACAAAAATAATAAAGCAAAGAGATTTAACTTGAATATTAATTTCACACGTCAATTTTTAAGCTTCAGAACTGAGAGAAAAGTAAGACTTGTTTTTTGCAGATTTGGTCAAACCATGGTTAGGCACTCATTAGTCTCATAAGATAGACTTGCAAGATAGCATTGCACTCAGTTTAATATCACTATGTGGTCAACAAGACATTCTTCTAGATGTTTGATTATCTGATTCTTGCTACATATTAGTGGAAGATTGTTGGACAAGCTTTTTACACATTTGCATAATATATGCTTTTGTAACTGTACTGAAAAAGGCATTTATCAGTCTACTTGCACTTCTATAGAAGTTGGGATAAATGTCTTGTTATCTACTGTTTAAATAACTATGGGTACAATAAAGAGTTCATATGTATGAAAGCATAAAGAACACCATGTAATTAATAAACGGTGCTCATCAAAATCTCAAAAGTTTTCCTTGATTCAGTAAAAGTTAAGAAACTGTTAAACCTTAATAGAGATGAATAAAGAATCAGTCTATCTGGAATAGGCTTCTATTATGGAAGTCTATCATTAAAACTTCCAAGACTTAGGTACATTTTACAATTTAAGAATTTACTATAAACATCATTCCTTGAAACAAAAAAATCAATGTTACACAGATCCTAATATAATAAAAAATAATATGAGCAAAGAAACACTGTGCTTCCCTACAATTGATGAGGAATAAGCAGCATAAATAAGGGATAGCTGGAGATTCGTGTTTGAAATGCAGCTTAAAGTGGTCAATGCTGTCGAGATAAATGCACATGATCGCATGACATAACATTGAACAGTTAAAAGCAGTTTGGTGTCCTGATAATAGTTCATGCACAGTTCGCTCAAATTCAACTGATAATTTGACATAGAGTCTAACATAATTTCAAGATAAAGACTATAATGGAATGATGACAAAGAATGACAGAATGGTCTTACAATGAAGAAGAAACTGACTACAGTGGTATGACAATAAGCAGGAAGAGCACTATTTGAAGGACACACACTCTCATTACCCATGGTTTTTGGAGCTTCAGTTCTGAGAGTACCAGGTTCAAGATCTGTAACAGGAACTAATTAAAAGCAATGAAATAAACACTTGTGAAAAGCCAGTAAATTATATCTTTCCAGTATAATACTGCTTCAATCAGTATATAGCGATTTTAAGAAATTTTCTGAAATTTGATACTTGTTATTTGAAGACTTGGCCATCTTATAGCCAGATAAACAATTTTTTTAAGAGGCACTTAGTCACAGCCTACACAATTTGGCACACATCTCAGTAAAGCCCACATAATATTCTCGTAGGTGTCTGAGTACTTAATTCCAACTAGAAGACTTCCTTAGAAGCTTATTCAGGCATTTTGCCAAATATATACTTATCTAACTGTCCTAGTAACTGTTGGCATGTTTGTGGAAGCTTTAATAATGTGTCTAAATGGGCAAGAATATAGTCAACAGCCTGTTTGAGAGAAGACATAGCAAAGAATAAAGCAAAGTGAATCTTACGGAGCTTTCATTTGCAGTAAAGGCACTCAACAAATCAGGATAAGGGACACACACACAGAGTTGCTCTCTACTCCCATCATAAAAATGCGGGACCCTAGATGGATGATGCTTCTTGGGTCAGATGCAGACTTTCGAGTCATATCTTCAAGGACTTTCTTCAGCTGCTCTTACAAACCCTTCCAAATGCAGCTGTCATCACTACTTAGAAGCAGAATCCTGTGTGTTTCTGGAAGCCTGTGCCCTCTGACTTGCCTCTACCCCTCCTGTCTTTCTGACTCTCTTCATCTCTAAGATTTTAAGACCCAACTTCTTTCCAATTATTTATTCTTATTCTTCATAACATTTTCTTTTTCTAAGCTTATAGATGTGTACAGCACCCCTCAAAACAAGTTCAATTTGCCCAGATACACTCTCTTGCTTCAATCTTTGGGACAGGTTTTGACCTTGACTATACTACAGAGTAAGATGTGAAAAACAAGCTTCCTCCTCCTGTGATAGCCTCACAGTTGTTGATGTGGCTGTGGGAAGACAGAAGGCACTTAAATATTTTTCTAGAAATAAAAATGCAAGTTCTATTTAAGGCATTTTGTCTTTATGAGGACAATTGAATGAAATAAAAAGTAGTAAATAAGAGGCCGGGTGTGGTGGCTTACGCCTGTAATCCCAGCACTTTGGGAGGCCGAGGCAAGCAGAACATGTGGTCAGGAGTTTGAGGCCAGTCTGACCAACATGGCGAAACCTGTCTCTACTAAAAATACAAAAATTAGCCGGGCATGGTGGCGCACGCCTGTAATCTCAGCTACTCAGGAGGCTGAGGCAGGAGAATCACTTGAACTGGGAAGCGGAGATTGCAGTGAGCTGAGATTGTGCCATTGCACTCCAGCCTGGGCAACAGAGTAAGACTCTGTCTCAAAAAAAAAAAAAAAAAAAAAAAAAGTAAATAAGATACATAGTAAGAGACAAACCTGTATGCAGAAAGTGCAAGGAATTCACCTGCTACACAGATCTATCCCAATTGTGTTCTCCTTTGCTAACTCAACAGGGGGAGTAGCAGCAGATCATTTTGTGCCTTCACCCACATGGTGCTCACACGGGCCATCACTCCCATCGTTGGCATCCATTATAAATTCCCGAGAACTGCTAGGATGAGCTACTTTAACCAGAAACCCGAATTTACCCGGTTTGGTCTGAGGAACCTCAGGACTTGGTGTGGTTTTAGTTTTGGGACGTGGACGACGAGTTCGTTGTGATGTTTTAGGAGCTGAAGAAAGAAAACCTTCAGTTACTACAGAGTCCGTAGTTCAGAAGCTATGAGTAGCATGACATATGGTTTGAGATCTCTTAAAACTTACTAGATTTTCTCATATTTCAGGAAATACGTCTTTTTAACTTTTTAATTAGAAACATTTACTATTATTATAATAGTATGTCTCCTTTTACAATTGAAGAAAGTTTTTTGGGAGAAAGTGTCACATTCTAAAATGAAATTGCTAACTTAAGAAGTGAACAATAGTCAATAGGACTCATCAAATAAAAAGGTTAAGAGTCACTGCTAAAATATCACAGTGCTGGTAGTCAGTTGTAAGTTCTTTCACAATTACTAAAACAAGACCACATAATTAACAAAAATGTCAATCAGAGAATATCACATAGATAGCAAAAATAAGTGAGTAAGTAGAACTTTAGATTCATAAAGGAACTCTTTGGTACCACAATAATGTTAGAATCAAGAAAACTGCATTTTAAAGTCACCTTTAACAAAAAAGTTGGTTAAAAAAACACACTGGATGACAAAATAATTTCAGATGGTTACATACCCAAAAGATAGCCTGAGTTAGGTTCATGCATGGCTCTTTTAAAAACAAAGGGTGATTTAAGAGTCAGTATTTTCAATACCTTTAGGATGAAGAATATGATGGAATGACAACAGAGAATGACGATGTAGTCTTAAAAAGCATAAGAATCTGCGGCTATGATGACGGAATGGGTTTGACGATGAGAAGGAAGGACACTTAATGAGGATTGCAACGTGCTATTACCTTGTGTTGTCACCCAAGTCTCAGTTCTGAGTGTAACAGGTTTGAGCTCTGCAGTAGGAACTGACCAAAAGTATTAAAATTAACCAAATGATTATTTTAAATGAATGTAAACTCAAAACTTTTCTTCAAAAATGAGTCTTACTAGTATAATACAGCCTATAGAATTATATGGCAACCTTTAAAACTAAAAAAGTAGGCAGTTGATTTCCAAAAATTTGATACCTAAGACAGGTACCTAAGTCAGGTACCTATTTCCTTATTCCTCATTCTGGTTATCTAATTAATAATCCAAAATGGACTATGTAGGTATTGCTAGGAATTCATCTCTGGAAAGAGATAGAGGTCTTAGCATGATGAATTGAGTAGGATATACCTCCATTCTGAGCAAAGAGAGAACATGCCCTCATGTGGAAAGAACAGCTTGCTGATGTCTACCAGATCAAATCCCAACTGCTCCATCAGGGACCTAGGCATCTCCGCCATGGGTATCCATGGTCCTAGTGAGATTCAGAAGGGATTTGCCTGTCATCTTGAAGACCTTTTTTTTTTTTTTTTTTTTTTTTTTTTTTGAGATGGAGTTTTGCTCTGTTACCCAGGCTGGAGTGCAGTGACGTGATCTCGGCTCACTGCAACCTCCACCTCCTGGGGTTCAAGCAATTCTCTGCCTCAGCCTCCTGAGTAGCTAGATTACAGGCACCCACCACCATGCCCAGCTAATTGTTGTATTTTTAGTAGAGACAGGGTTTCACCATCTTGGCCAGGCTGGTCTTGAACTCCTGACCTCATGATCCACCCACCTCGGCCTCCCAAAGTGCTAGGATTACAGGTGTGAGCCACTGTGCCCAGCAAAGTAAGACATCTTTTTATCAATTGTCCAGTTAGACTGTCTCCTCTGGTTGGTCTCTACTTGTGTCTCTTCCTTCTGATTTTATTCTTCCCACCCTTCTACTCATCCCTGTGTCTTGGTGATTTCAAGGCTCCATTTCTTCTTAATCTATATTTCCCTTCTCCAAATATTCACACACTAAGCATATCTTGTTGATAGCACTCCAAAACCAGTCTCATATTTGCACAGATACTGCCCCATACCATCTTTTACTTTATTTACAAAGGAAAGGCTTCTGTTCTCAACTGTCTCACAGGTCTGAGGATCAAAATGCATCTCTGACATCTGATGTATACCCCAAATGTGCTAATATGATTGGGAGGATATCTAAGGCACTTAATGTTTGTTGACTTGAGCTGAATATGTCTAATTTTTCTAAAGAAGTTTTATTTTTAAGAGATAAATGGAAGTTAATAAAATGGACAGTGCCAGAGAAGACTGCACAAAGGAAGCATGAGGCATTCAGTTGCTTCACAGATCTCCTAACAGTGTTTCTCTTACAGTTTCACAGTGGGATCTGCCGCTGACCATGAGTTGTAGCTTCCCTCTCACAGGGGCCTATTGGTTACTCCCAACCACTGGAATCACTCTTAAGACCATGCTGGCTTAGGCTGCAGGGACTCTTTAAACCAGGAACACATGGTTTACCTGGTTTAGATTCAGGTACTTCAGGATGTGGTGTGGTTTTTGTTCTGAGACGTGGATGACGTGTCCGTTGTGACGTTTTGGAAGCTGAAGGAAGAAGTTCTTGGGTTACTACATAACTACACTATCTATGATTCTAGAAGCTGTGCAAGGTAAAAAACATGACTTTCTACTGCTTGATAGGTGTTTGCCTTTTAGTTTGAGATTTATGTCACATACATTCCTCCTTATAGATCTTTTATCATAGAAAGTTCCTTAAGACAAAAATCACTTTTTAATTTGAGAAATAAAGATTAGAAATTTTAATGAAAATCTCATAGGGTAGCTTTACTGGGTACCAAAAAGGTTAAGTACTATTGTGAAATTTTAACAGATAATGAAGGACAGTTCCACTAAATCTGAGATTTACAACTTAGTCTTTCAATTTTTGGCACATATTCTATAGAGCTATTAAAATCTGAATATATTGTGACCTTACTAGAGACAAAACAATAAATTTCTACGCAAATAGAAAAAAGGGTAGAAATTTAGGTGCAAAATGGGTCCTCTTTGCTTTATAAGAGTTAATAGCTTTATCTGTCCAGGTAGGAGTTAGAAACCCACTAACATGTTTGAAACACAGCTTTATCACAAACACTGTTTAAACAAAACACAGAATAGCATGACAATTCAAGCAGGCCATATGGCAAATAAATGTCTTCCTGTAGATTCATGCATAACTGCTTCTCTTAAAAGCAACAGTTAAGAGTCTTCATAATTTTAAGAAGAGTTGAATGGCCATCAAGAATGACACTGTTGTCACATGAAACAAATTGAAACTCTAGGTTTGACAATAAGCAAAAGCAGCTTTTCGAAAACACTGTATATCAACATTACCTAATGTTGTTGAGGCCTCAGGTCTAAGAGTGACAGGTTCTAGGACTGTAGCAGGAACTGACCAAAACAACACGTAAATCAAAGAGATTTTTAAACATATGAGAAGTTAGAATACTCACATGCAAACAAATTTTACTAGTATGTCAATTCTTCCGGAGAAACAAAGAAAAAAATTAACTTCTTAACTGAGGGGAAGAATGCGTGTTTGTTCATTGATGATTTGGCCAAACTACAGGTATGGGGAGTCCCAGGCTTAGCTTTTGAACTATGTTGAGGAGCTTAAAGAAGTCAACATGAAATTCTATTAGGTTTTTAACCAATGAATTGATATGAAAACTGCACTGGAAAACATTTTAATGCATTTATCTCACATATACTTAGAAATTATCTTAAAAGATACAATTACTCTGTACTTCTGAACATGAGCACTTATTACGTATAAGTAAACATGGATAAAAGAGACAGTTCATATGTTTGAAACCGATATAAAAAATTAATCATTGAAGTGGACTATGTTCATCTTGCCAGGAACTCATCTATAGACAGAGTTTGAGATCTCTGTCCAAGCCATGACACTTACTAAGAGAACAGGGTGGTCACTCAACCTGCAATAACTGGTAGAGCATCTGTCTGCTGTCAGCCCAGAATAAAGGGAAATCAAAGGCTTTTGATGTCTCTGTATCTTCATCTGGCTTGATGTACCCTTCCAAATGCACCATCATCAACAGTCATATATGACCATCTAGAAGGAATCCATCTAGACTGGACTGCCTTTCTAGCTGACCCAACACATGTGGTCCTTCTGCTCTAGTTCATTCTTCCCTCCATTCGTCCAAATCCTCAGTGGGCCCAAGGTCCAAGTCCAGCCCACCTCGATCTTTTCTTTTGAGCTAAAGCATAAAGATCATCACTTTATGTTTGTGTCAGGCAAGCTTATCTTCAACTCCACTCCTTCTGCAGTAAAATAACCCTCCTACAGCTGACATATCACCTATGCATGGTTGCCAATGTGGGAACGGGAATATGCAAGGCACTTACAATTACATTTACTTGAACTGAATATGTTGGCTCTGCTAAAGAAGTTCTACTTTTAAGATGTGAATGGAATTTGACAGTAAGAAATATACTAATTATGTGGTTTCAAAGAAAAGTCTCACATAGAAATAATAAGATATGCTGGCACCAGTTGGGTCTCAGCCACACATTATTCTCCTTGAATGCTGAGCAGAGGAGATGGTACTGATGATGCCTCATGCCCTTGTGCTTAGGGAGAATAAGACCTGTTGCTGCTCAGCATTGGCACTGCTTCAGTCCCCACTGCCACAGGCTGCCAGGGATCACCCTTAAACCAAGGAATCACAGATTTACCGGGTTTGGTCTCAGGTGCCTGAGGGCTCGGTGTAGTTTTAGGTCTGGGACGTGGAGGGCGGGTTCTTTTTGATGTTTTGGTAGCTGAAGGAAGAAAAAGCCTTGTGTTACTCTAGGTCTTAAGATTCTGGATACTGAGGAAAGGTTTTTCCAAAACTTGTCAGATCTCCTAAAGTTCCAGGAACTTTAGTTGTTTTCAGTTTTAGTTTTTCATTCCTTTTATAACGATGTGTCATTTTATCATTGATGGTACTTTTCAGGCAAATTCATGTATACAGTCAAGTTGCTCACCCACGGAGCGAAGATTAGCACTTGTATTGAGAAACTTACAGAACTTCCTCACTGGTAAAAAAAAAAAAAATGATTGGGGCAGAGTATTCAATGAGACAGGATAGGAAGTTAGGGTCACATTAAGGAATAGGTTTATAATTTAAGATTTCAGACTTCAGTAATTCCCTAATTGTCAAACTAGTAATAAAACATATCATTACTTAAAGCACCAATAAGGAAAGAAACATACTGGGCATTTTTTTTTTTTAAATCTAGAAACTCAGATGTGCAAAGGAGAGTAAGAGTAGGCATTATTGCCAATCAGTTTAGATAAGAAATAGATCCCAATTTGTTTTAAACTCAATGTTAATATAGAACTCTGTTAAATGAAGCATGAGATGATATGATAATTTCAAATGTGCCACATGGCAGGTAAATATTTTGAGTTAAGCTCATGCCTGGCTCTCATAAAAACAACATGAAACTTGTTTTTAGGAGGCTTCAGTATTCTTCAGATGATAGAAATAGTTGAATGGTCACAGGCAGTGATGTTTGCTGTTTCATCAAGGAAGACATGGTGTTATAGGGATGAAGACTGAATGGACTGTGCAACAAGCAGCAAAAGCACTTGGCAAACAGCCAGGTAATGGCAGGGTTGTTACCTAAGGTTGTTGCAGGGGTCTCAGTTCTAAAAGTAACAGGTTCGAGGTCTGTAACAGGAACTGAAGTAATAAAATAAACAAAAGAGATTGTAAAAAATATGTGGGAGCTATAGTATTCACATCAAAATGTATCTTGCTTGTGTAACACTGCCTCTGGGATAATTAAACATTTCTGGGAAGGGCATTAGGACTGAATTATATTTCCACCCCCCAACCCCAACACACCAAATTCATAATGTTGAAGCCCTAATCCTCATAGTGAGGCCTTCAAAGGGATGATTCAGGTTAAATGAGGTCATAAGGGCGGGACTCTACTTCAACACGACTGATGGACGCATACGAAAAAGAGACATGAGCTGCACACACAGAGAAAAGGCTGTGTGAGGATACAGTGAGAAGGCGGCCATCCGCAAGACAAGGAGAGAGGCCTCAAGAGAAACCACGCTTGTAGATACATTGATCTTGGACTTACAACCTCCAGAGTTGTGAGAAATAGACTTCTGTTATTTAAGCCTCCTAATCTCTAGTGCTTTGTAATGGCAGCCCTTTTTCTTTTCTTTTTTTTTTTTTCTGAGACGGAGTCTCGCTCTGTCACCCAGGCTGGAGTGCAGCGGCCGGATCTCTGCTCACTGCAAGCTCCGCCTCCCGGGTTCGCGCAATTCTCCTGCCTCAGCCTCCCGAGCAGCTGGGACTACAGGCGCCCGCCACCTCGCCCGGCTTATTTTTTTTGTATTTTTAGTAGAGACGGGGTTTCACCGTGTTAGCCAGGATGGTCTCGATCTCCTGACCTCGTGATCCATCCGTCTCGGCCTCCCAAAGTGCTGGGATTACAGGCTTGAGCCACCGCTCCTTGACGCCAGCCCCTTTTCAAATGGAAATTCATGGTTTTTTTTATCTAGACTTGGCCAAACTATACAAGTACACCATCTCATGAGATAGTCATCATTTTTTTTTTTTTTTTTGTCTAGACTTGGCCAAACTATACCAAGTACACCATCTCATGAGATGGTCATCATCTTCGGTCTCTCTTTAGCACTACATGAGGCAAAGAATTTGTCTAGTTATGGTGTTTATCTGAATATAATATGGAAGACTTTAGGAGGTTTTAAGGCATTTATTTAAATATGTTTCTAATAATTCTCAAGAAGCTCATGAAAAACTAATTTGCACTTTAGTGGATGCTGAAGAGAACATGTACTATATGTTTATCAAATTATGGTTGCAGAAAAATTGATGAAATATCCAAATGGTCATCACACAAATAACTAAAAATGACTGATAATCTTGCTGGGAACTCCACTTTGGAAAGAACTTTTCACTTCTGTCCAAACAATAGCACTGCAGTGGCTGCGTAAGGGGTGGCCACTCAGTCTGTGGCATCCAGTAAATCACTATCCACACTTAGCAGAGGGAAAACATGATCTAGTGTGGAAGAAAGATTTTTGATGCTCATGAGAACAATGTCAGGCTCAATGAGTGAGACATTCAAGCCCTCCTTCCACTTTCCACGGCGTCATCCAAATGCAGAATTACCAACAAAAATGTTTTGGCTGACCCTAGAAGCAGGATCTCTGCCTTTTCTGGTTGCCTCTATTTATATCCAATTTTTTCATCTTTGTTCATTCTCACCTTCCTATTTGTGCAAATTGTGATGTGACTTCAAGGCGCAAATTCTTTCCTGCCTCTGTTGACACCCAAATTCATTTTTTACTTTAAGACCCTATAATAACTCTAACACTTAACATTTATATTCCCAAGAAAAATCTTTAATTTGCAAAAACACCCTGGCTTATTCTCATTCTCTAAGCTTTTCATGTGGGAAGTTTTTGTGTTTAGCCTGCAGACTGCGAAGTAAAACATGTCTCCTACTACAGAAACGGAAGATCCTGCAGGTCTCTTCTAAACTGACTCCTTGTCAACCATCAGGGGGTAACAACCCTCTGGACTCCCTCACTAAGGGGTATGTGAATCTGTTATTTCTATCAGTGACAGGCTCCTAAGCTCCATAAACCAAAGACCCTATATTTATCTGGTATAGTCTCAAGAGTAGCCATACACAGAGTGGTATTAAGTTTGTGCTGTGAGTGATATGTTCAATGGGAGGTTTTTGGAGATAGAAAAAGATAAACTTTAGTTATTTTAAATCTTATGCTTCTGCACATTGTAGGCTTAAAAAAATCTTTAGCTTTTCCAAAGCTTGGTAGATTTTCCTGAGCTTCAGAAAATATATTTTTCTAATGCAAAAATTTTGCTCCTACTATACTTTATCTTCTGTTATTTAAGATACTTCAATAACAAATTTGCAAATATGCAAATTTGACAGATTAAAGCTATTAATTCAGATACTTAGGATTAATATGCTTATCACATTCTAGAGTGCCCTGCCTGGATTAAAAAGGTTATAAATCATCCAGATTATGATGGAGACTAGGGGGAATTCAATTTATACTAAGGATGGGTTTTATTATTTAAATCTACTAGCCTTGATCACATTATGTTAGATAATTCACTAAAAATATTACTCATACATTAACAAAATAACAAAAATAACAGGCAGATTAAAAAGGTAGATGTTTGGGAATGGTTGTAAACGGGATAAAAAAGCAAAAATATAAACCCCAATAAAGGAAAAAAATAAAGAGGGAGGTGTACAAGGGATGTATAAAGAAACTTCTGTGTTACAGCCTGGTTAGCATAGATCAGGTCAGAACCTCGCGAGAATATATGAAATCTCCCTTCATAGAGAACTCTGGTTAAGCCAAAACCAAAATGATACGATAAACATTTTAAGTTATAAAGCAGGAAAGATCCCAAACTAGATTCAGACATAGCTCTCTTATGAGCAAGAGGCAACTTGTTTCATGCATGTTCAACCGTTACAAAATCAAAAATGTAATTGAATGGCAATATAAAGTAGAGTAAGCTGGACAGTGAGCAGAACAAGCACTTGCTGAAGATCAGAAAGCAGCGTTACCGAATGTTGTCCCTGGAACCTCTTTTATAGGAGAAACTGGTTCAAAGATTGTAGCAGGAACTGGCCAATAAAAAAAACAAAACAAAAAACACCAACAAAACATTAAAAATTTATAAAAACTCAGAACATTCAAAAAGAATTTTACCAGGTCATGATGCATCTGTCCAGAGCACAAAGCAAACACAATCAGCCTCCTGAGCTCAGAGAAAGGGGCACCTGTGTCCTTGGCTACCAATTCATCTCTTAGGAGGAATGGTCATTTACTTTGTAGTCAGATAATTCAGATAATGGTCCATTTGAAGTGTCCCAGGAGTTTTTCTCATTCTTTAGTGATCTGAACCAAACTAATAGAGCACAGTAGACCATACGCATTTTGCTGAAAACTCATCTTTGGAACAAGACCACGAGCTTTGTCCAATGTGAGTACTTAAGCGGACAAGAAGAGGGCCAGCCCCTCAGTCTGTGGTATACAGTTGGGCAACACCCAGAGAAAGCCTGACTGCACAGGGATGCAGATGATTCCTCCATAAAATCCAAACTCCTCAGGCCAGCGTTCAAGACCCCTTCTCACTTAGCTGCAGACACCTCAATGAAATGTTCTCATCAACACCTAGAAGCCTGACAGCCTCTGGCAGTCAGAGAAACTGCCTCCTCAGGCTTGTTTCCATACATTCCCTGCCTTTCTGAATTTCTCCATTACTCTTCCCCCAGAATGATTTTCCCCTGAGAATGATTTTTCTGTTTTTAAGTGGTTGTAAAAAAGAGGAAGAAAATACTACAGGGACTATACGGCCCAGAAAGCCTAGGAAATTTACTATCTGGCTCTGTCTAGAAAATGTTTGCCAACTCCTGCCTTAGATCCTTATTTGTGACTTACATGACTCCTATAGTTACCAAGAAATAATCTCCCACTTGCACGAACATATGCTCCTTCTCTAGCTGTTTCACTTTATCATACATTCAACGTTGAAGGGATGAAGATAATTGAATGAGAAGTGAATTAAATAGACGTTGAGAGAAAAGCATAAGGAATTTGGCTACCACATCATCTCCCCAGCCCTGTTCCTCATTGCCTGGTCTGATGTGGAACCAGCTGCTGACCCTGCCTGGCTACTTCATTCTCTTTGCGTCCCACTGGGGTGGGCTGCTAGGATTCCTCAAGCATGACCTACAAATTTACCCAGTTCAGTCTGAAGCTCTTCGGGACTCGGTGTGGTTTTAGGTTTGGGATGTGGACGACGAGTTCGTTGAGGCACTTTGGGAGCTAAAGGAAGAAAACTTCAGGTTAATACAATGTGTTTGGTTCCAGAAGCTGTGGATAAGATTATATTTGTTATAATTTCTTGACTTCCAAGAAATGTTTCTTTTGGGTTTGAAATATTTGCCCCTATTTCAATAAGCTGTCTCTTTCTATCATGTAGTTTTTTCTGAAGAACAAAAATCACATAGAAATATGAGGTTACTGATGATATTTCAAGGAGCTTCTCACAGGGATTCCTGAATGAAAAACAAGTTCTAAAACCTTGCTGAGTTATGGCAGTGATGAGGGCAGATATAGGGTGATTTTATATTTGTGATGGTGCTTATAATTTAAATTTACCAGCCTTGGGCATATTTTACTCTTTACTTGGGAAAATTTTACTCTTTACTGAAACAAGAACACATTCTTACCCCGAATGCCCCCCCCCCAAAAAAAAAGAAAAAAAAAGAAAAAAGAAAAAAGAAAAAAAAAATCATCATGATGCAGACAGTAAAAATGTAGAAATTTAGATCTGCAAGAGAACTCTGTCACACCGTAATAGCTATGCCGATTTACTCAGCCCAGATCAGGGACAGACACCTTCACCCCCAGCCTCCAGTGATTATATTTGAAACTCAGTAACAAAGAATGTGGTTAAAATGTTATGTGGGAGGAAGATGTGGGGAATTCAAAGTCATCACATTGCAGATATATAAACCGACCATAAGTTCATGCTTGGCTCTCTTACCAACAAGAAATTGTTTTAATACTCTTATATATTTTAAGAAGTAATTGAATGATAGAGGATGACACAGAAGCCTTGTGAAGTGAGAGAAGCTGTGGTTATGATGGTGATGAATAGGTTGGAAATGAGCAGGAGAGGCAGATGTTGATGGACATAACGTGCTATTACCTACTGTTGTCCCTGGAGCCTCAGTTCTAAGAACTGGTTCGAGGATTGTGGCAGGAACTGATCAAAAGTAATAAAAGAAACCAAAGAGATTTTGTGAATGCATGAAATGTCAGAACATTCATCTTACCACTGAACATCAGATTTCTAAGGCTGCAAAATTAATTCTTAATATCATAACTCAAAAGAAAGTGGATGCATTTTTTTTTCCTTTGAATATTTCTCCAAACTGTAATCAGGTACTCATTTGACTCAGAAGATAGTCAGCAACAGCCTTTGGATTTTGCTGAGCATCTCACTGAGGTCAACAGTAAGATCTTGTTGTTGGTTAACCATCTGATTCTAATGAACACTAGAAAATCTGGCTAGCCATTTTCTTAGAAAAAGATATGGTAAAGACTAGAACTTTTGTGGAAGCCAAAAAACCAAAGACCACTCATTATAAGCAGTAATCAATAATGACAGATAGAACATTTACATTTGAAAGCAAACACAGTGTAGCAGAGAGTCCCTATGGTGATCCCCAGTGGTTTCTTTCTCAGGTGTTAACACCTTTGTGTCATCTCTTCCCCTTGAGTATGTGCTGGATCCCTGACAACTTTTTAACCAATAAAATAAGGCAAAGGTGATGAGTGTCACTCTGTTGAATAGGTGCATGTGCTGGGAGTGTGTCTGCCATGCTAGCACAAGGGAGAGACAGGGAGGGAGAGACGGACAGGGAGGGAGAGATGGACAGAGAAGGAGAGAGGGAGAGGATGGATTATATAAAGGTGTTAACCCCAGGAGCAGGGAATCATTGGGAGGTTGCCCTAGAGTTTGTGCACCACACATACTAACAGCCAAAAGGAAGCTGAGACTATACTCATTAAGAGACTAAGTCTGTAGTAAACACAGCTGTACTTAAGTAGCTGAAGAACCAACTCTCAGTTTTTGGTATCATTGGGCTGGGTATCTTCAGTTCTAAGAACAGAAAAAGCATGATCCTGTGCAGAAGTAGGAATCATTGAACCCCCCTAGATCAAATTTAAGCTCTTGAGTAGACATCACAGCCCCCCAAGAGCAGACATCCCATCCCCCTTTAATTCATCACTGAACAGGAGGGTATCAACGAGTTATCCCCTGTCTGGTGAGCCAGCTTCAACACATTCCCTGCTTAACAGCCTCTGTTCCCTCATCCCTCTACTCATCCAGTTTCTATGCTGGTTTCTAATTATCCTGGACATTTTCCTCCTCTAAATATTTGCCATGCTTCTAGGAGGTGGCATTTATACCATATAAGAAATTATATTTGCATAAACATGCTGCCTCATATTCATTTCTAACTGGTTATGCATGAAGAACTTTTGTTTACAACTACAGTGTAAACTGGGAAAGAAAACATTCTTCCCACTTCTGATGTATGGACTAATATGGCTTTGGGGAATTAGAAGGGACTTAATAAAAGTAGTTGATTTAAATGATTGTGCTGGCTCAATACTGAGCAGCTTTATCTTGAAGACAGGAATGAAATAAAAGAGCGAGAAGAGTAAATAATCATCAACAGAGAAGATCCCTACAAAGGAAGCAAGAGGTGCTAAGCTATTCATGTTCTCCTCACTAACCAGTAGCTTTCACTCTGAAGAGATATATAGGGCATGACACAATAGATTATGTGTACATAGAACTTACAGTCCCAATCATGGTAGACTGCTTGGATTCTATAAAACAGAAACTACATATTTACCCAGTTTAGTCTGAGGTACTTCTGGATGGGGCGTGGTTTTAGGTTTGGGATGTGGACGACGGGTTCTTTTTGTTGTTGTTGGAGCTGAAGGAAGAAAATTTAGGATTAATATGGTGCTGATGGCTCCATTCACTGTGAATAGGATGACATAACTCTAAGTTTTAAAATACTTGTTAGAGTTTGAGTTGAGAGAACTTTGTCACTTTGGTTTGAAATTTTCTCCCTCAGATTCTTAATAGGTTTTCTTTGATAACTGAAAGTTCTTCAGAGACAAGAATTATACATATAATTATGTTTAAGAAAGAAACATTAGAAACTATCATTATTTTCTCGAAAGTGTCCCTAATCCAAATCACTGCTTAACTCTGAATGGTGTGAGAAAGGTTCTAACCAACCCTACACTATTCACTTATAATTTAAGATAACTGGGACAAATTTTCCACTTGGTAATTTACTAGACTAAGTATATAAAATTCACAGGAACATCAATAAAGCAAAAAAAAATTATATAGAACTTGAAAAACAGAAAGGTGCATAAAGAAACTGCATAATATCATCATTTGATACTGTGTTGCTGCTCTAAATAAGGAATATATGGGGAATTGTAGTTGGATCTTGGCTCTAAGAGTATAGTTCAGAGACTCAGACGTGACACAATTTCAAACTGGGCTATGGAGCAGATAGCTGTCTTGAATTAAGTCCTTGCATATTTCTGTTAAAAAGAAAGCTTTCCATATTTTAAGATGAATACTGTAATGAGATGACAACAAAAGATGGTACTATTGCCTATACAGCACCATAGCGAAATCTGACAATGAGTAAGAAAAAGCACTTGCTGAAGGACATAGAGAGTCATTACCTGAAGATGTCCCAGGAGTAATAGGTCCAAAGTCTGTAGCAAGAAATGATCAAAAGCAATTTTAAACAGAAATAAATGTTAAACACACGAGAAAAGCCATCATTCTCTTGAAAAGTGAACTTTACCATTATAGCATTGGTTCTATAGCCACAAAGCAAACATTTTGAAGTTCTCAAGTGAGGGTACGTATTTATTTGCTTTTATGAAACAGATATAACCTCAGCATCTGTAACATGGTTAGCTACCAGTTTTTCTTATTTTTATATTATCTGATAATACAGTAGAAAACCCTGCTTAGAAAAATCTTACAATATCTAATAATGTTATGTTTAAAAATTAGGAAAAACTAATGTGAAAGTATAGTTACACTATAAACTGGAAAACAAAGCCCTAGTTCGTGATGATGCAATTACTGATATGTTTAAGCAGATACAGTGATGAGTGATTAAAATAGATAATGTTCTTCTTTGTTGAGCGTGCACCTTGGAAAAAGACCAAGACTTCTATTCAAACAAAGGCATACAAAGAGCCAGATATAGAGGGTCATTCAGTCCATCAAACTTAGTGCATCTCTCTGTTATCAGCACAGAGAAGGCCTGACCCCTAGGTTAGGAGAGCATGCTGGAGCCAATTGGCTCAAACCCAATCATCAAAGTCAGGCATTCGAAGTGCTCTTTGTAGATCCATCAAAAGCAGCATTACTGTCCAACTAAAAGAACTTTGCCTTTCTTACAATCAGGTTGCACTTACAGTTCCTATCCTTCCAATGTCACCCTCATACGACACCTTCCTGCCTCTGTTTATATGATTCCTACCCATCCACCAATAAACTATAGGGTCTACAAATTTCAAGGTCCACAAGATGAGCTCTTGCTCTGCTGCCCGGGCTAGAGTGCAAGGGTGCAATTATAGCAACTGCAGTCTCGACTTCCTGGGCTCAAGAGATCCTCCCACCTCAGTCACCCAAGTAGTTAGGACTACAGGTGCACATACCTGGCTAATTTTTCTTAAATTTTTTGTAGAAATGGAGTTCTCCCTAAAGGTTCACATTACACTTATCAGCCCACAGATGTTTTGCTTTTCTAAGAATTAACGATGTGCTTAACAGTTGGTAAAATTTAATACATATTTGCTTTTCCTCACACTCCTGTATATCTATTATGAAGAGTCTCACACAAGAGCAGCTTCTTATAACTCAGGTAAGTCATTTGTTTTTTTCTAAAATATTCCTCACAGATGCAAATGTTCAAAATGTGTGACAGGTTGAACTAAATATGCTAACTAGACACCTAATCAGGTCAGTTTTTGCTGAGCTGAGGAATCAAAGAGAAAAATGTAATGGAATGTCAGAGAAGCAAATAAAATACGCAGGCCATCATTCTCTTGAAAAGTGAACTTTACCATGATAGCATTGGTTGCAAATAAAATATGCAGGCACCAAGAACGTCCTCACACAAGCAGTGAGAAGTCACAGGTATCACCAGAGCACTGTGTTGGTAGCAGCTGCTTTCCATGACTTCGGCCTTCACCCCAAGGGTCAAGTAGGTTATAAGGTGGCATGTGAAACTGCCACCCCCATGCCACATCCAATGGGATGCCACAGGGACAAGGAACCACATATTATTTACCTAGTTTGGTCTGCGGTGTCTCTGGGCGTGGCGTGGTTTTATGTTTGGGACGTGGACGACGTGTTCTTGTTCGTTGCGATGTTTTTGGAGCTAAAGAAAGGAAACTGGTTATTGTAGCCTTATGACTCCAGAAACCAAAGAAAGGATTACACATGGTTCTAGTTTTTCTAAAGTTTTCCTAAGTCTTGAGAAATTTGTCTCTTTGGTTTAGCATTTTCTTCTGATCATCTATATGCAAAAATATGTATTTTTGGTCTACTGACAGGTCTTTTGAGACAGATGGAATATATGTAATTAAAAAAAAGAAACTGCAACTTTATTATTAGTTGCTGGTATAGGATTTTCAAAGAGGGCCCAGAGTCAAGGGAAGTCAGACATAGGCATATAGACATCACATCAGAGAGGGACCCAGGCCCACCTGCTTTTGGGAGAGTGTACTAAGATATTACCTGGCTCAGACACACATTCCATTAAAAGTTATTAGTATAAGCACATTTTGTTTTCTAAAATAGTTGGTAGATAACAAAAATTCTCTGTATATCTTAAAACAACAGAAAGTAAGATGCCCATAGAATTACAATTGATATTTATCAGGCAGCCATTCCTAATTGTATTTGAAATTCAGCTTTAACATAGGACAGTACTGGAGCAGAATCACAGGCTCTGTCAAGCATTAAAGCTGGATAATATGGGAAAAATGGGACACAGACGCTGTTCGCTAGTGGCATATGGCCTTATAACCAAGTAACTTGTTTTAGGCACTTTCAATACATTCAAAATGAAGAATATAGTTCAATGACAAGAGGATGATGAGAAAATCTTATGAAAGAAAAACCCTTAGCCCAAATAGTGATGGAATAGACTAGACAATGAGCAGAAAAAACTCCTACTTAAAGACATAAGAGGTCATTACCTAATGTTGTCACTGGAGCCTCAGTTCTCACAGTTACAGGCTTAATGTCTGTGGTGGGAACTAACCAAAAGCAATACAATAAACAATGGATATTAAGAAATATAGAAAAAGAAAATTAGTTTGAAAATGAATCTTCTTAACCCTTTAATGTCTTAAATGCATTTTCTGAACTCTGGGAAAATACTATTTGTTTTCCCCTAACTAGCCATACTATCATATCCATTTATTTCACAAAATATCCACACCCTTTGCATCCCTATAAGGGCAATGAAAAATATTTTTCTGTATTTCATTATCTGATCCCAACAACATAGAAAACCTGGACCCAAGAAAATCTTAGTTGTCCAATATACAATTTTAAAGTACTCTAAAAATTTGTTATCAAAGCTTCCACTGGTATTTAAAAAGTTTTCACCACCATTATTAATTTGCTTTGAGAGTGGTAGTTGTGAGGAGATTTAGAAAAATCTTCTCAGTCTATTTACTGGATATCTGTGAGAGTTGTGCAAAAGTCTTGTACCTTTTATTTGTGATAAATGTGATATTGCTTCTTAGTCTGCCGCCTTATTCATTTATTTCAAATGGCTAATTAGGAGATAATTATTCAAGTAGAAAACAGATAATTAAGAAAAAGGTCTAAAAGGTAATGATACAACTTTTATGTTTAGATAAAAAGGATTTCTATAACATTCTGAAATTGATTATACATAGATATAAAATTAATCAAGAATTGTAACTCTCTGGTATTAGCATCTCCATTTATCTTCCCCTAAACCCGGAAGGCTAAATGTAACATTCAAACATCTCATCCTCAAAAAACTCTTTAGGCATTTATAGAGAGGCTGACTTTCCCTTACTGCTCAAGACATCATAGCAGAAAGTTGGTTTACGCCACCACTGAGAGCATCTTCAGAACCAAAGGCATATTTAACAGAAGAGATGGAGGAAGCCAGGACAACAGGATGACAACAATATTTATAACTAATTGCCTTCAAACAAAACAGAGAATCCTTATTTTGTTTGGAATTTTGCATCACAAGATGAATTTAGCAACAGAAAGATCAATTTGCATATGAATAACGTGGAACAGGAAGAAAGGACTTTTGCGAGAAAGAGACAGTTATGTACCATCACGAGCTCCTTATAAACACATTGAGGACAAACTCCAGCCAGCTCTTTCATTGCTCCCCTCCCACATCCATAAATTGCACCCACACAGAAGCAGAGGTTTCAAAAAATTTTCTGGTTTGAAGAATGAATATAGACAGAGTGACTGTAACTCAAGCAATCTGAATGTCTCTGAAGGTGATTGAAGAAAGAATAACAATTACGTGTTACAAGCTGAGCAGCAGACGGAAGCATGCCTAATGATGTTAAAAAGGCCCCTGCTGGAAATAGTAAACAATCTTTAAAAACGAAAAAAAATGGTGAATGACAATTGTGCATACTGTAGCTAATGAAAAAAGAGATGAGAGGGGCAAGTTCAGAGAAACATTGTCCAAGAAGGAAGAAAGCATCATTACCTATGGTCATCGAGGGAGCTTCCGTTTCAAATGCAACAGGCTCAGAGACTGCATCATAAAAAATAAACAGATATAAGTAACAAAAGCAAGGAAGTCTAAACTTTTGGGTGCTCACTGGTGTTTAATTCAGAGGACAGAGAGCCTAGTTCATTCTAAGTTAATACAAATTGCCTTCCTGATAGGTTAATTTATCATGTGAGATGCTTCTTAGCAAATTAAAATTTTATACTAATTGGAATCTTGGGAGAAACTTTCAACTTCAACACAGTTGGATTCTGAGAACTGTAATATAAATATCTTCTTATATGGTAGGAAATTACTCAGTTAATAGTTACTGTTTAAATGTTGGTCGGGCACGTTGGCTCATGCCTGTAATCCCAGCACTTTGGGAGGCCGAGGCGGGTGGATCACCTGAGGTCAGGAGTTCGAGACCAGCCTGGCTAACACAGTGAAACCCCATCTCTATTAAAATACAAAAATTAGCCAGGTGTGGTGGCAGGTGCCTGTAGTCCCAGCTGCTGAGGAGGCTTAGGCAGGAGAATCACTTGAAGCTGGGAGGCAGAGGTTTCAGTGAGCCAGTTGTACCACTGCACTCCAACCTGTGTGACAGAGTGAGACTCCATCTCTAAATAAATAAACAGAATAAAATAAATGTCAATAGAGTATTTTAGAGGAAGCTAATCCCTGATTAGCAAGTCTTCTTTTGAGTTGTGCCTATAAATGAAGAACAGTGCCAGCCTTCCGTGTGTATTAACAGTGCTTACTAAAATCACCTTCAAAAATGTTTCAGATACAGAAAACTCAGGCTTCTGTTCATTACAAATTCAGAAAATAGGCCTAAAAAAGCTTTACAAAAATGAAATGCCAGTCAATCAGGTATAAAATTTACTAATTTCCTACATATTGACTTGTTCATTTAGCACTTAAAACATCAGTGTGGCTACTTGGAGAAGATAATGAACAAAATTATGGTATTTGGGTTTCTATGATTTATATGATATGACAGATTGTAAACATTTTCAGCGATGTTTCCAAAGAAAATCCTGTTAAGCTAAAGCACTGGAAATTGTGTTTACTGGATTTAGTTGGTGGCATGTCTGGTTCTGCTGTGGTTTGGGGTTTAGGAAATAATTGTTTTGGTGGTTTTGAACCTGAAGAAAATTAGAGTGCCATAATTAGTGTTACAGCTGAGCTGTGAATGTGAAGATTAATGTTACTTACACATTATTTTCCTATTTATAAGATCAAGGCATTGAAAGTAATGATTACCAGGCTGAATTTGAGGTGCATCTGGTCTGGGTGTGGTTTTAGGTCTCTCAGATGGTTTTGAGGCTAAAGAAAAAGGTACTACAATTAGCAAAATGGGTCATGGCTGTGACTGTCAAAATTAAGGACAAGTATGCAGAACAAAGACACTACAAATTCAATGAATCTATAAAAATTTCTGGGGTGTGGGAAGGGTGAAAAGGGTGTCTATTTTAACTACACGCTAGCATAATTAGTTTTTTCAGAAAGGAAAAATCATCACTAAATGCTCAAAATGTGTTTTTGAGCAAAAGTAATGAGGACTGTCATAAGACGTTTTTTCTATACAAATAATTCCAAAATAGACAAAGTATATTAGTTCCATGTCTTTGATCAAAAGGTTTTCTTCAGTATACAAACAGTAAGGTAGAAATCTAATTTCTTAGGAGGCGATCTGGAAGTAATCCATAAACATTTGAAATTACACATGAGAAATAATGTTACATGGCTGCCGATGTCTGGGATTTTCCAAAGGAAAGCCGTGATAGATTTTGAAACTATAATGAAATGATTATAATCAAACAGTTTTAGTACTAAAAACAGTAAAACCAGCCTGGGCCTTTCAATGTTGTCAACTTCCAAAGACCATCACTAGTTTTACATTGGACTCCAATCAAGAACAATCTTGGTGCCTCTAGCGATCCAAACCTACTCAAAAACATTTTTCAAAGAAACAGAAAAGCCGAAGAAGCCATTTTTTCATGCAGCTTTTTAAAAAGAAGAAAGTCTTAGAAGTTGAATCAGCAAAGCAATGAAATGCTGACCATGGCACTGGAGTAACATTTTGCTATTTGTTCAGTTCAGGATGAGCACAGAGGTCCCTGTCTGAGAAGGAGTTGATGGTTTTCTCAACCCCACGAAACATATAGGGCAGACAGAAGGTCAGCAGAGAACCAGGAAGTTGTGTCCAAGACCACAGACCTTCCCTAAATGAGCACACTGGATTGTTTTAGAACTCTCCTATCTTTAGGATCTTCAGACCCAGACAGGAAAGGCGAGGAAAAGCATGGGATGAAATTGGATGAGGTGGTGGAACTGCGGTCATGCCTGTAATGGAGAGTGGGGAAAGCAAAAGCTACAACCCGTGAAAGCAGCTGGGGTGGAGGGAGTAGAATTACCAGTTGTGGGCACCAAGGGCTCCGGTGGTATCGTGGCAGGTTCCAGAGCTACAGAAGCAAACACCAAAAACATGAAATATTTCAAGAAGTGGCATCTTGAGGAGGGAGACATTATGCCTCAAACTGGGACACTCTAGCTAAATGATGCATTTTTTCTGAACGTGATTTTCCCTTTTACATTTCCCATTTTCCTTTCTCCTTCTTGCTTTCCCACACCTCATCTGCCATGAATGTATATCATAAGATTTCAAAGTGCCTTACATTAATAATTCACTTAATAGGTCAGTTTTCTGCTGTGTGTACCTAATAAGCATGACTGCGAATATAAACATATTATATGAAATATTACATATATAAAATGAATATAGAAAGTGAGTACAGATGCTCAGTCATAAAAGTCAATTCCACTGGTTCACTAAAGCCCAGCTGCTCAAGTAGCTGATATCAAACCAGAAGCTGCCATATTCCACTTTCTATGTTAATTGGAACCCGAATATCACATTTACCCGGTTTGGACTTGGGCACTTCTGGACTAGGTGTGGTTTTAGGGCGGGGACGGGGGCGGGGGCGACGACCTGGTCTTTTGGTCTTTCGTGGTGCTGAAGAAAGAAAATTAGCAAGTTAATACAAGAAGCGTGGATTTACAAACTGATGATAAATATTACATCCATCTTAGAAGCATATTTAAACCCTTTGATTTACTGTGGACATGTTTCCATCGGTTTTGCAAATTTCTATCATTGTTTACATAGTTAAATGAGGTCTTGAATAATTTTTTTTGGTCAAAGATTAATAAATAAATGTCCAAGAGATCTCTCTGTTCTTTCATTTTGAGATGGAAAATCTCAAAACTTTGTACAGCTTAGAGAAGATAGTCACTCAAAAATATTGAAGGCATATGTTCAATAGGAACATGAGAAATGTTGCTTTTATAAAGCCATTTGGGATAAAAATTAAAATTTGGCCTAAGATGTAAACGGATAAATTTTTCATTTACAATATCCACAAATCAACAAATCCACAAATCAACAATATATGCAGAAGGCTTTGAATTCAGTCATTATTTCAAGAAAGGCAACTTTTAAAAAATGAGAGTTTATAAACGATATCTATAGAACTTTTTTTCTGAAGAACAGCGCACTCACACACACAAATGGACATTAACGTATTAATTCATTAATGTGAGTCTGTCAACTCAGATACCAGCAGTCAGGAAAAGAGGAAACGAAGGTCACCCACTCAATAACTCTATTACCTAATGTTGTTGTTGAAGGTTTGGTTTCCAGTGTTTCAGGCCCTAAGACAATGTGAAAAAAATCACCAAGAATCAAGATCAAAGGAAAAATGACATATATTTAAAACATGGAATATGCTTAATTTTTAATTACTAGGTTGAGCAAATATAAATGGTGAAACTTTTATCCACATACAAAGTTTCTTTTCCACTTCAATAAATTCCTGTGTTTTCGACAAAGCGAACAAAAAAATGTAGCCAGTCAGTTAAGTTTGGAAAGAGAAATGGAACAAAAAGGCATGATTCTCATTTGGAATATGTGACTGTAATAAAGTAACCAGCAGTTCATGTTATGAAGGAAAATATGGGTAATTGACTAAGATGGCACCAGAACACTTTTTTTTTTTCCTCTTTTGAAGAAAAGGAAGCTATAAAGATTGGGGTTGGTTTTTTATTTCTCTCTGTGAGTGGATTTCCTAGTGACACATCAGGGTATTTAGATCTGGAAAGACTGTGACACTTTTCAAGAAAATCTGCAAAAGTTAGAGTTCTGACAGTAAGAAAAACACCTCCAAAAGAGAAAACATAAATACGTCCTATGAAATTCAGGGTCCTCCCTGGCAATAAACAGGTTAGAACAAGTTCAGGGCGTATTCCTCAAATGTAATTGAAGGAGAATAAAAAATGTATCAAATTAAAATTAGCACTGCTTTCACGGGTGTCTCAGAACCACTGCTAAGTCAAGCACAGGCTGCGAGTATATCTCTGGGCAAAAAGGGCTGGAAAAAGATCTGAAGGAAAATTAAGAAATATTAGGCTGGGCACGGTGGCTCATGCCTGTAATCCCAGCACTTTGAGAGGCTGAGCTGGGTAGATCATCTGAGGTCAGGAGTTCGAGACCAGCCTGGCCAACATGGCAAAACCCCCGTCTCTACTAAAAATATAAAAAATTAGCCGGGTATAGTGGCTCAGGCCTGTAATCCCAGCCACTTGGGAGGCTGAGGCAGGAGAATTGCTTGAATCTGGGAGGCAGAGGTTGCAGTAAGCTGAGATCACGCCACTGCACTCCAGCCTGGGCAACAAAACAAGAGCGAAACTTCATCTGGAGAAGAAAAAAACAAAAAAAACCAAACAAACAGAAAAAACCCCAAAGTTGAACATGGAGAGTGTTAAAGATACTTTGTTTTCAGTCATTTAAAAAAGCTTTATTACCTATTGTTGACTGTGATGGCAGTAGAGTCTGGGGTTCTGGGACTGCAATAAAAGCAAGTAACATCAAAAGCGATGCTGAAGAGCACCATCTAAGACAGAAGTCACACGTTCTTTACTATAAACAGTGTTCTCTCCTGGGTGAATGACTAAGTTCTACTGGCTTATGCCAGTGAAGTTCAACCTTCCACATCCTCTCTACAAACCACAAGAATTGAGAATTCTCATTTTTGTTGTTGATCTTTAGTTGTTACTGTCACTTCCCAATATTCTGGTTTGCCTCTGGTGCTGAGGAAATACTAACTTAGAGGGAATTCTGGGTAGCCTCTCTGAGGTTGTTCAGAGTGTCCTGTCACCTGCTATTTGTTTCTTGCAGGACAGCCAGGTTCATTCAAGGAAATGGAAAAGGCAACAGACTAACCACTGGTACTGTGTCTGTGCTGTCAGTTTGCAATCTCCAGCATGGCTGGACCTGACGTTCTCTCACAAAAAAGATAAGAATTAAACTTACTGTTCAAAAGCGACCACAAGTGTTCATATGATGCCCCCTGTATTCACTAGTATCTATTGCTGGTAAACAAATTGGTTCACATATGAAACTCAACCCATTTGGACTGATAAATCAATGAGTCCAAAAGCAGTTTCAGATTTCATAAAATGCTAAATTAAATAACAGTATCTAAATACTCTGATAAACTTTTCAATGTTTATTCAAACTAGCAATAAGTAAATTAAACTTCACGCTGAATTTAGTTTGGTTACATATTTGGGCTTAAAAAAAAGATGACCCGATAGGTTTCTTATTATTCTATGAACAAAAAGAATTGTTTAACAAGGAGAAATTTTAAAAGGAATTATTTTTGGAAAGGAAATAAAAAGTTAAGACTCTTTTTTTTCTTAAAGAAAGAAACTAATCAATATGGCACTCATAGATCATCTTAATAGAGCTGAAATTCTTCTTCTACTTATACATTTCTAGTATTAGACTTATCAGGAATGATCTCTGATATTACTTGAAAAGGGAGTATGGCAGGTTTTGAGAATATGCAGTGACTAAAAAAGAACTTTAACAATAGTTTCTATGTAGCAACTAACAACAGTTGGTTCTATATATCAACTAGTTTTTAGCAACGGAAACATATAATAATGCAGGCAGCGAATTTTTATTTCTTCTAAAAGAAATGCATAATAGCATAAAGGGCTATTTAAAGGCATTATCATCCATTAACATATCTGTGATCAAAAAATTTTTGTGTTGAGGCTAAAGAGTACCAATTAGGTGCAAAAGAAGCAGGTTAAAGTTGTTTTTAAAAGCCCAGAATTCTGATTTCTCAAGAACGTGTGCAGAAAGAGACTGTAACAGATGAATGGCAAAAGCAGTAGTGATGTGTCAGACTGAAGTTCATATAACAAAGTAAAAATTCTGAGTGTGTGTGTGAGTGAGTCTGTATGAGAGAAGACAGAAGGGAGGAGGAAGGGTGTGTGTATGTGAGAGGGAGGGAGGGATGGAAAGAGGGAGGGAGGGATGGAAAGAGGGAGAGGATGTGTGCGTGTGACAGAGAGTGAGGGAAGGGGAGAAGAAAGAGTAAGTGGGAGAAGGAGAGAGAGAGAGTGTGTATGTGAGAGTGTGAGAAAGAGAAACAGAATTGTATGTGTGTATGTGTAAGAGTGTGTGTATAGGTCTAGATATCTCAGATGCTATAGGATAAGAAGAAAATAAACATCAATACATGAAATATAATAAATATCAAATAAGCATTCATACCTGAAGAGAGCAAACAAAAATTTTGAAACTTCAAGATTGTAATTCATGTTTTTGATTGTACGAAGCTGCCTTCCACAAGTGTGAAGAAAATAAAATTTGCTACTCATTGCATCTTTTAGATTTCACAAAAATTAAAGAATGTTGTTTTTAAAATTATAAGGAAAAATCTGCATTTTTGAGTTCCTGAGTTTGAGACCAAATAGGGATAGAACTCCATCAATTAAGCTTCAAAGTCAATTGCACATAAAAACAGTAAAGGTCTATGTTTAGTAAAAATAAATATATCTTCTGATACGACTTTCTTCTATTTGACAATCATAAGGTATTATGGGTAAAGGTATAAAATGTTCCATAACAAAGCTGAGAGGTCTGTAAATGACTAAGCCACTCATCTCAGCACAAAACAAAGACAAATCTGAGTCACATGTGTGGCTAGGAATGAGAACAATTAACAATTCTATCCACTTGGAAGGCAGTTAAGTGAAACAAACACCTGTAACTGGGGGCACTCCCTTATTTTCAGTCCATTTAGAAGCTTAAAGATTAAACCACGAAGGAAACAATTCCTACTGGACGAGGTAGACAAGTTAGATATGGTAGCTGGCTATGGTTTTTGAGAAATGCACTGAATTGTACTTATAAAACAAGCCCAAATCAATGTGGATTTTTACTCGTTGATTTAACCAGCAAGCAAAGCCAAGGGAAAAGGAGCCTGTAATGGAAAGTGAAACAGAAAAATAGAAGAGTGTGTGGAGAGGGCTGGGAAAGGCCTCAGAAAGCTCTGGGTGGTTTATTTGCTCTTCCGAACCTTGGCTCGAAACAGACATCTTTAGGACAGCTATAAAGGTGGTCTGCCCTAAATAAAGATAAATATAATTTAAGAAGCTAAAACCAAAGCAATGGTTTGCGGAGATCCAGTCATCATCCTGTGTTGCTATGGACCATTCAAGGTCCACTTGAGTTGGCACAGGCCTAGGGGTGGATTCTGAAGTCATTACATTGCTGTTAGAGGAAAAGCTGGATTTTCTTTGATGATTAAGAAATCAAAGGAATGTAAACACATTAGCCTCCAAGTAATTCTTCCCATTTTAAAAGGAAATGTCAAATTAAGAAGTCTTTTTGCTCAAACACCTTACAATGATAAAAATGTAACCTTCCTCCCTCATTTGTATTAAAGAATTTCCTCTCAGAAATCTTTTCTTAGAAACCGCTGAAATGAATAACGTAACCTGTCATATATCAACTGTAAATAATGTTTGGAGAAATTTTTTGACGATTTCCAATTTTATGTTGTAATAACAGAAATAATTACTTTGAGAGAAATCCTTATTTAAATTTGGTGACTCAAACAAACAGTACTATTTTATGATCTCTTTGGTAATAGTCCTCTGTTCAAAATATAGCATAGTTACTACTTTATCCCAAAGCTCTCTAAGCATGTTTTTAAAATAAGTATGTATTAAACCCTTCTCTCATACAGCTGTCAGAGTTATTTGATTTAAACCACTATTAAGGCTTTTGAGTTTTATTAGCTACGCTTCTTTCTCCGAAAAACCTGAGTGAGGTTTTTCATTCCATTTCTCTGACTTGGAGACCTCATCCATGGTCACAGTGTCAACTACACTCCCTTTGCCTAATCCCTAATTTCCTTCAGTCTCCATCTACACCTGGAAATCTCACTGCTTCTTTACAGGGAGTAATAAGAATTCTTTCTTTAAGCAGTTACATTTTTCTTCCTTAGCCATTTCATTGCAAAAATAAATCATGCCCACTTTAGCAGAAAATCTCTTGCTTTAATAATCCTACTTTGTAAACCTGCCATTAATGAAAATGCAAGTTCCAAATCCATTAAACATTCTAGTGAGAAATATTTTCTTCCTAGAGCTAAGGGTTTAAAATTTAGATAATGATGACACTGAGTGGTGACAAGGTTCCCTGCAGTCAATCTTATAAGTCAGCATTTAAGACTGCTACACGGATTACAGATAGATAAAAAACGCCAAGACTTGGTCATCCAATATGTTCCACAATCTTTATGTCTTAAATTATTATATATGTAGAATGATCCCCTCCTGCAAAAGGAGACTTTTTTTTTTTTTTTTTTTTTTTTTTTAAGGAAAACAGTACTAAAAATTCCTAAGAGGTAAACAGAGGTCAGTGTTCAGAAATCAGCTCCAATTTAGAAGTCTCAGAGCATTAGGAAAATACAGGTCTTTCTGGTCTTCTAGCCTGAGAACTGAGTAACTCTAAAATAATGCAGAGTTCTTAGAAGACAGAAACACTTCTCCCCTTTCCAGCTGAAAGGCTATTGTTTATGTGATTAGAATTCCAGTCAACATTGGTATTGGAAACTATTTTGCCATACTAGACAAGGGAGTTCTCAATCATTCACATCATTACATTTCTGTGTTTTCTCTGTGATGCTCATGAACATTGCTCAGAGCAATGCTGTGATATCGCAGTGGCTATTTATGATTAGATCATTTCATTGCATGCTTACACTTTTCATGGAAAAAATGTAACAAATATCAAAATACAAATCAGAAATTCTTGCTCCAAAGAATTGCATAAAACTTGTTTTCATCCCCACTTTTGGAATATTCAAAAAAGTTTAGGGTAATTACCAGGTTTGGTGTGTGTCACTTCTGGGCTGAGAGAGATTTTAGGTTTCAAAGAAATAAATTGTGTTTTACTGGGAGCTGGAAAAATAAAGAAACAAAATAATAAATCAATATTTAGGCATTTTTCAGTGTCTAAAAGCACAGAAGGAAAACCTAGAAATAAACTATACATTAAGTGGAATGAACCATTGTCTTGGAAGATTTTGGAAATACTCCATTAAAAGAATATTTCATGATCCATTCACAGAGAAGTAATTTTCACTTTGTTTAGAAAAAACATTTCAGGAGTATATTTAACTAACAAATATAGCATTGCTACTAAATAGTCACAATAACTATTCAAAGTAAAGATAGTTATTTAATCTATGATTTAAAAAAATCAGTCTAATTATTTTGCACCCTTACTTCATATTTCTCAATCACGTCTAAGTCTGACCACTAGGGAAAAAAAAGCCACCATGTTTTACAATTAATATTCACCGACGTATGTGCAGGATGTGCAGGTTTGTTACATAGGTACACTTGTGCCATGGTGGTTTGCTACACCTACCAACCCCTCACCTAGGTATTAAGACCAGCTCTATTTTTTATCAGCTTTATGAAATCAAAAGGAAAAAATCTAAAATCATTCAAACCAGTAGCGGATGTGCATGTCTTTTGAAGATGCAACAATAAATTTAAACTTCCTGCACACAATTTTAAGGTGGTGTTTTTCTTTTTCTCCTAACATTTCCAGAATCTATCACTTTGAGCCTGTCTACCTAAACATATTTTAATAATAATAAAAAACTACTCTAAAAAAAAAATTCACCAATAGGTATAATGCTATGATCTGAAGCATAAAGTAATTCTACTAACATTATAATTAAAAGTTGTTTTTCCAAATGAAGTCTCAAGTTGAACTTGAGAGTCTTACTAAAAAATAAAAGAAAAAGAGAACTATATACAAGATTCAACTTCAAATACAATGACCGGATAGATGACAAGGAAGCAGCAATGGTTCAAAGGCTGGCACAGAATGACATCTGACGGCTGAGTTCAGATCTACTAACTGTCGGGCCAGCTAGTCACAACCACAATAGCCATGGAGTTGGTGCACTCTCTGAGATGGGCCACACTGTTCAAATGAGCCATTCTGAATCTCTTAATAGCTAACAGACATTACATAAAAGCTGGGGTACTGGATTTTCGATGGTGAAATGAAGCAATACGTCTACTAAGGACATATCATTATTACCCGGTGTTGTCCATGTAGGTTCAGGGCTTTTAGAAATTTTAGGTGTAATTGTTCCAGCACTTGTGGTTCTTTCTGGTGATGGAAAGGAAAAAAAATATTGAAATATCCTAGAGACAATAAAAAGATATCCTCTAAAGAGGAACTAAATGACCCGTTTAAAATCCTGCCATATTTAGTAGTCAAAGTATACAATGAGTAAAAGTTTTGAGGAAGAATTTTTAAACTGTCACAGCAGTATACATCATACAAAATTACATTTATCTTATAATGGAATGAGCAAAGCCCAGTTGGTAAAGCACGATTCTGAGTATACTGTTTGACAATGAAGAATTGACCTCCAGGGTTAATAGGCATCTGTACCACCCAAACTCTGTGCTGTAATACATGTTATTCCCTTTTCCTTTTCTTCTAAATCCTACATGTATTTTGGGGTCTGCATCTTCAACTCTTTCTTTCTTGGAGCACTTACACAAATATTATAGTCTCAGAAATAAGTTATGCAAACGTATGTTGTGCTGTCATTTTTATGTTTTATCTTATCAAAGTTATAATCTATTTGAAAACCAAAGTCATGTCCTCTCTAACTCAGCCACTGCCCTGGTGAAAAATTGGAAACAGAGTAGGTACCAAAATAAGAACCATCACCCTAATGAACATTATAATAAACATGCACACCAAAAAACAAATTACATGTATCACCCCGTATTGCTATGAGTTGGACTTGTTTCTAGGTTTTTACCAAAATTCACATGTAAAAATATAATTATCAGTAAACCCCTTTTGGAGACATTTGAGTTTTGTTATTTTGTATCATTAATTATTCATCTTTAGTTAATCTCAAATTTTGTAAAGAAACTAACCTATAAAATATATCCTTTTTTTTCTTGAGATTGGGTTTTGCTCTGTTGCCCAGGCTTGAGTGCAGTGGTGCCATTATAGCCCACTGCAGCCTCAAACGTCCGGGCTCAAGCAGTACACCATGCCTGGCTAATTTTTTAAACATTTTGCAGAGATGGGGTCTCACAATCTTGCTCAGGCTGGTCTCAAACTCCTGGCCTCAAGTAATCTTCCTGCCTTGGTCTCCCAAAATGCTGGAGTTGCAGGTGTGAGCCACTGCGCCTGGCTATCCTTCTTACTATAAGAAGATGGACATCGTCTATCTGGCATTACATATCACACAAGCATAAAGAGACATTTACCAGGTTTGGTTCTTGGCGGTTTGGGCCGGGGGCGTCGTTTAGGTGTAGAAGGGATAGATGTAGTTTGCTGGGGAGCTGAAAGAAGATTTAATATCACTTTGATAAATGATATTTTTCAGGGGTCAATCAGGTTGTGCCTGTAAATTTGCAAACCTCAAGTACAAGAACTGCTTCATATTTCCTTTTATCCCTAGAATGCCCAGTACACCTTGTTTTATACATAGTTGGTGCTCAATAAACAAGCAGGGACTGGGACAAAAGGTATAAAATTTCTACATGAGAATTGAAGATATACATTGTTCAGTTCAATGTATCAGAAGTGAGCACCTTTGAGGCATTTCAGAACACAAGGTACAATTAAGAACTCAAAAGGATGACATTGAATAGCAGGAGAGAAGCACAAATAATGGAAATTTGGAACTACTTTGTTGTTGACACAGAGTCTCACTCTGTTGCCCAGGCTGGAGTGCGTGGTGCAACCTTGGCTCACTGTAACCTCGGTTTCCCAAGTCCAAGCAATTCTTGTGCCTCGGTCTCCTGAGTAGCTGGGACTATAGGCATGCACCACCACGTCCAGCTAATTTTTGTATTTTTACTAGAGATGGGGTTTCACCATGTTGGCCATGCCGGTCTTGAACTCCTGTGATCTGCCTGCCTTGACCTCCCAAAGTGCTGGGAGGTGTGAGGCACCACATCCGGCCCAGACACCACACCTGTAGGTGTGAGGCACCACATCCGGTCCAGAACTTTAATTCTGTAGCTCTTTACTATCCTCACCAACAGTTAACGAACTTTGCTATTTCAATAATTTTCCATTATAAAATGTAGGTTGCGCTACCTCTCTTTACCCATCTTTCTTCAACTTGTCCAGGACTGCAAAGCCTACTGGGTGCTCCCTATACTTACACTACTTTGGGTAAAATACTTTGATCAAATGGTACCTAGGTGTGCTAAGTAGAAGGAATGTATTTTGAAATAATTATCTATAATTCTGCTGCTATTTTCCAGCTGGCAAAGTTGAAAGAAGAGTTGGAAGGAAACAATTCCTCAAAATATATAGACGTCAGGATTGTGAAAATTCTTTAAGGACAATCATAAGGCTAAGTGTGATAGATAAGTCAGATTCTTTGAAAAACTTCATGGTAGAGACTGGAGGGAAACATTTAGCAAAAACAAACAAAACAAACAAAATTCTGAAATGACCAACATGACTTATCATATTACCTGTTTCATCAATGCATATAACTACATAAATGTTATTAGTTACCAGCTGTTGTAGGCTGCATTTCTGGACTGGTAAAGATTTCCAGTTTCTGAGGAACAAATGGTGTTTCTCTTGGAGCTGAAAGCACAAACACCCCATCCCATCGAATAATCCCAGTTAAAATGAGGTATTTGAGGAATTTTAACATGCTTTTAGATGGTATAAAGCACATGCCACAAGTACATGAGTAAAGATGAAAAATGCATGTAGTCTTGAAAGCTAGTGAATACAATTCTGATTGAAAGTAGGGAAAAGGCTGGAATGATGCTTGTTCAGCAGGTGACTTCAGGCAGACTTGATGCATGGAAGTAAAGTGACACAGGCCACACACATGTGAGGTGAGATGGTGCAGGTGATGACGTCCATGCAGTTTTCAAAGCTTTCACAACTAAAAGGATAGGGAAAATATTATCTATTACAGCTCAAAAAAATAAAATAGAGCCCTAAATGGAACACAAAAGATGACTGTATTTAAAAATATAGAGATGTGTATATTAAGAAATAGGATAGACAAATGATTAGATGTGATGGAATGAAATGGTCATTTGGAAGAAAGACATTCACATGAATTTTTTTGATGGAAAATAAAGTATGATTTTTCTGTTAAAAACATTACCCAGTGTTGCCCTTGGCTGTTCAAGAGTTCTAGAAGTTTTAGGTGGGACAGAATCCAGAATACGATCACTTGTTGCTGTTGGAATAAATGTCAACATTTATAAAAGCAGTAGAAGGCCCCAGGAATAAAATACAAATTCGTGAGTAATAAATTATGCCTCATATGAGGGAAAATATCAAGAATACTTGAGGGATTGCTGGCCCACATTTTAAAACTAGTGATACATTAGGAGTTGAAGATGAGCTCACTTTAAAAAACATACATACTTTAAATATTAGAAACCATGATTAAACAGTGTTTTATACATTCAACTGGTTTTCAATGGGTTTTTCTGGTTTCCTCCATTTTGTTTCATAAATGCTAACTGAACCCACCGCTGACATTCTATTTCATTGTTTCATTTTCTGCTCTTTAAACTTATTCATCTTTATTTACCATGACACAAATAATGTTATACATCCAAAAATATCAGACATATATCTATACCTGTCAGAAGCCAGTCTTACTCCCTTTGAATCTCCTACAGTACCCAGTTTAGTAGGTGTTTGATAAACATTTGCTGAAAGGAGCTGTCGGACTGAGGTAACTCACCATAGATGGGTCAGTAATATTAATGCCAAATATTAGACCCAATTGAACTGCTACAGTCAAATGAATTATGTGACTGCTCTACAGTAAGATTTCTCACGCTAGCACTATTGACAATTAGGGTCAAATAATCTGTGCTGTGGGAGGCTACCCCATGTACTGCAGGGGTTCAGCAGCACCCCCGATCTCTACCCACTAGATGCTAGTAGTGCTTCCCCAAGTTGTGACAACCACAAATGTCTCAACATTAGCAAATATGCTGGGGAAGGGATGGGAGTAGAAAATTATCCCCCATTTGAGAACTACTGCTCTAGACAAAACCCTCTATCAACTCAAAGACCTTTTTATGATGATTCTGAACAATACAGTGATAAGCTACTACCTTACTTTTCCTCAGTGGCAGCCAAATCTCTCTGCATCTCCCTTATGGGACAGAGCTTATTTACTGAGAGATGTCAAGAACTAATCACTCTATGGGAGGAGTGGGTAGAATACGTCTCCCTGACACAGGTGGAAATTTCTCCCATGCAGATCTCTAGAGGGCACAGTTTTCCACTCTGCGAAAAACTAAAGGAAGAACCACCAAGTGTTGGAACACCTGGGATCCAAAGACAGAATTGAGAGGCCGGGTATACCTGTGTAGGACTCTGATATCTCAGGCTCATCTGATGTTGTAGGGCTTGAGAAAACATCGTAAGTTGCTTTTAAAAAAAAAAAAACAAAAAAAAAAAAAAAAAAAAGGCAAAACAAGAGAGGTTAGTTTTGGTTAAATTTGATTAATTTAGAAAGATTGCATGACGTGTTGTAATGCTGGTTGAAGGACAGTTTTATGTAGGTGCTGGTGCATTTTGGCTCCAGGCTGCCAGCCTTGTCACTAACATGTAAGCAATCACCGAAACTCGTCATTCAGGATTTTATATAGTGAGGCTTGATGCTGGCCTCCAGGGTGATGAGAACATAGTACTATGTATTTATAATCATGCAGTGCCAGCTGTAAATCAAAGAGCTGCAAAGAGTATAAACATAAATAAAGTCAGATGGCAGTTCGGGGAGAGATTTCTAAAGAAGGAAACAGCAGTCCCATTGAGGTGATTTGCCCAAGTCTTAGTCTTTCTAGACTAAGCAATAGTAAAAGTTTAGTAAAAGTTACTGTTATGATATCTTATGTTTGGACAGCACTTCACAGTTTGCAGAGACTTTCTCATACATCAACTTATTGAACCCTCTTAACATCCCTGAGAAAGAGGTGAGGTAGGCAGTAGCCCCACTTTATAGATAATGAGAGGTTATCTCCATTTTCTAGATAATGAAGTTGAGGTTTACAGCATGAAGACATCTGCCAGTGGTCAGAAATTGTCCTATCCAGTGTATTTTCCTCTCCTTCAGCAGGACCAGGAACAGCAGGGTTAAAACCAGGATTCTCTTTTGGCACCATCCCCTCCTGACATGTTACCTAGAGGCAGCTCTCTGTACTTCTCCATGGAGCCATGAGCCTTTCTTGAGTTTGGGTGGGTTTAAAGATACATTTTCTATTCTATATGAGGGAAAGTAGGATGAACTTAAACATAAAGATTGAATTATTTTAATATGGGGACAATTTTCATGTTCACATAAGAGTTGAACCTGCAAGCAAAAACAGCATAACAAAGTGTTCTCTTTCACATACAAAGAGCTGTTACTATGGTCACGAGGCATATAGAGAAAGCATGAATTATTATGAGGTAGATGTTGCCTTTCTTGCTCATTCAAAATGGCAGCACAGAAATCAAGAAAAAGGGAGTTCACAGGAAGACACAGTCATTGGGGTTACTTGTAATTCATTGGCAATTTAATGATTTTGAACCATTGCTGGTTGAAGCTGTAAGAAAGATAATATCAGACCATGTGACATCCTCTGAAAGTAGACAGCATTTATATTGTACTACATACTAAAGAGGCAGGAAACACATTGCAATGTGTGAAGATGAATCTACTGTTTCACAAAATCCTCAAAAATAGCAAGAATATTGTGAGTTAAAAATATGCACACATTCTGAGAATGCATCTATTATACTGTAATGTCAAGTTTCTTTAGCCTTGCTGTAATTTTAAAAGGTCAGATACGAATGACTAAGTTTTTTAAAGATCAAAAGTGCCAGTAATTTCTGACATGCTTACTTTCAGCCAATTTCAAGTCATGGATCTAGCAAGACCAGCTCTATCGCCTACAAAATCATAAAAACTTTGCCAACTTGTATTTAATCCTCTCACGCTAGGTAAGAAAATATGAGTTAATGGCTTATTTATTTCTATTGTTGTTTTTGAAAAATGTTATGACTGTCTTTGTTATCCTAACTCCTAAAGCTCCCTTCCATCTAGTGACATTGGACCAATTTTCCTACAGTTTGTATTTATGATATTTACTCAATTTTTAAACTTATTTTTCATATTTACAATTTCTTTTTAATCAGGAGGCTCCAAGCCAGGCATCCATCTCCCCTTGTTATTCCCATAAGGCACTTAATGGGGAAAGAAGCCCTTTTTCCATCATCCCCTGGCAATTGTGGCTCAAATGGGGAAGTTCCCAATTTTCAGGGATCCTTTAACTTCTAAACATTTTATCAAATACACTTAAGACAAAAATAAGACATTTGCCAGCATACTTTGTTTTTAATATTTCTATTTCTGTAGTTTCCAAGAGTAGGAAAGAAAAAGAGTGCTAAAAAGGCACATATGCCACTAAAAGTTTCATGTTATTTCGTCAGCTTTAAGCAGCATACCACACCTCGTTTCATTTACGAGTTAAACAAGATCTTTTGATTCAGAAGTAAAGAGATTGTCTGGGCGTGGTGGCTCATGTCTGTAATCCAAACACTTTGGGAAGTTGAGGTGGGTAAATCCCTTGAGGTCAGGAGTTCGAGACCAGCCAGGCCAGGAGAGTGTAACCCCGTCTCCACTTAAAAAAAAAAAAAAAAACACAAAAATTAGCCAGGCTTGGGGTGGTGGGTACCTGTGGTCCCAGCTACTCAGAATATCTTGAGAATATCTTGAACCTGGGGGGCAGAGGCTGCAGTGAGCCAAGATCACGCCACTGCACTCCAGCCCGCACGACAGCAAATCCATCTCAATAACAACAAAAAAGTAAAGAGATGCCAGGGGGAGAGTACAGTGTTGAAATAGAGTTCTTTGAAAAGCTCTCTAAAAATCAACAGCTCTTGATTTCTTTATAAAACTCTTCTATATACATGCCTATACCTGAGAAAAACTCATGAAATTGTTAGGCCTGGTTTCTAAAAGCTACACTAGCTATAAAATTGGTAAGTAGTCAGGTGTTAAGGGTGAACCTTTCTGTATGGTAGCCTGTAAATTGCCATGCATTATTACTTAGAGGCAAACTTCTATCACTATGCTTATCGCAGTGGGTGAAATGCTACAGCTATATGACATTAAGCAGTATTCCTGATTTTGCATTCACAGAACATACATGGGACCAAAAGTTGTAGGTTAAATCTAATGTAACAAAATAGATAATTCAATTCACAGGTTATAAAAGGCAATATTAGTTTATTTCAAAAAATAGTAATGACTTACAATCATGATAACTAAGTTTTACTTTCAGAGTTTCCAGAGGAAAAAATAATATGAAATAACATGCACTACCATTTACTCTATACCTTCTTAAAACTACTTTCTTAAATTAGGTTTTTATTTTATTTTTTCTCAAGATGGAGTCTTGCTCTGTCACCCAGGCTAGAGTGAAATGGCACGATCTCAGCTCACTGTAACCTCCGCCTCCCAGGTTCAAGTGATTCTCCTGCCTCAGCCTCCTGAGTAGCTGGGATTACATGTGTGTGCTACCACGTCTGGCTAATTTTTTGTATTTTCAGTAGAGACAGGGTTTCACCATGTTGGCCAGGTTGGTCTCGAACTCCTGGCCTCATGATCCACCCACCTTGGCCTCCCAAAGTGCTGGGATTATAGGCATGAGCCACTGTGCCCAGTCCTAAATTATGTTTTGTTGATAATACATTTTAGTTTTACTTTGAAAAACTGACTAGATGCAAAGTCCCCAGTAAAAATGCCCTGATATTGCTCTGGAAAACGCAAGCCATTTCAAATGATCAGGACTTTATCTTACTCAAAATCTCTGAATATTAGTAACTATGTGAAAACTTCCTTTTTAACATTAACTCTTAGACAAAAGACCTCACTAATGGAGAAATTGTATCTATCATGCTCATTATGCTCGTCACGACTTAATCCAAAAACTGGTACATGGTGGATACTCAGCAGAATTAATCTGCAAAATGTCCGTAACAATAAATAATAACAGTGAGTTTGACAGTTGGGTAGCTTAAGCTCTTAGTAAGGATAACTTTCTGGCTTAGTTTGGAGAATAAATGAAAACATGTCCTGTAATTATGTTATGATGTGCAAGTGTGTGCATACAAATCTCTTCCTCTACTTCACAAATACCTGGCATACACTTGTGTAGACATACCCTGTCATGAAAATGGAATTCTAAAAAAATATATGAAGGAGCAATGAGAAAATACAGCAAGTAGCTAGAGAAGAAAAACAATACCACACACAGAGTTCTCAGTACCACTTAAATACATTGATAATGCTTTCTTCAGTCAGTGGAAAAACAAAATACCTTTCTAGTTGGCCCTGACATTTGTGAAAATATTGCCTGCAAGAAAATATTCATTAAAATGTTCATGAAGTAAAATTAAAGGCTGAAGATATAAATCTCCTCAAAGCCACAGTGAATCTACAAACCATCTGCTATACCTGAAATCTGTTTTCCTGTTCTCAAAGCATCAACACCACTACCCACTCCTTCGTTTTCTCCTCTTTTGAGCTCAATCCAGTTGGGTGGGCCAGATCTGTGCTAATCAACACCTTACAGGGCAGACAGATAATAAATGAGCATGTCCTTATGTGTTTACTGCTTTTTAACCACTCTTAGCAAACCTCCTGCTGCCAAAACTTTCTAACCATTCTACTACTCCTTGGGCATGCTGATGGCTGCAGCTTTCAAGCCTTGAAATGATACATAGGGCTCAATACATATGCAATTTACTCTAGTTCTACAAAGTTCCGTAAGAATTTCACACTGAAAATAAGTAGTGGTGACCTCCTAAAGGAAGCTCCCAAAGAAAAATCTAATGGAAAAACTGAAGCTGACCATGTTTGGTTCTCTCCGTCAAGGAAACTCTCTGCAAGATAACTGTATATGGTTCAAGAGGAAATTATACCAGAAGCAGCAGCAGCTTAGTAACAAGTAACAGTAAAGCTGGAGCAACATTTGGTTTTTCTGGACGCTTGGGAGAACAGGCAGGAGGATTTCCTAAGGATGAAAATAAACACTTCAAATTAATGGGTTTGCAACCATTGTCTTTATTTGCTTTTGAAACTCTCCTGGTACTCAATGATGGTCTTTTAAGGTTATGATTAAGTAAATTAAGGAGGCTTAACAGTCATGGCATTATCAAACTAGAAACAAAAAGCTCATTTCCACATAACTCCCCAACCCATATTAAGTCTTTAGAAGTCATGCACACGCCCATCTGTGGGATAAATACATGGCATTTATGCTGCTTCTCCTTCCCTGGTGCCCCAGAAAACACAGCAAGTTGATAGTGGCATTATTTTGCTCATTGATCCAAGAAGGACCTCAGAGCCCAGTTTATGGAGTGATTCATGCTGCCACCGTAAC